CTGCAGCCTGCAACACGGACATCTTAGATGAGCACCAGTGGAGTCCCAGCTGCTTCACTTCATGCAGGTTCCTGTTTGAGCCAATGAACCTGGGAAATCAGTGCAGAGCACTCCAAGTGCCCTGTCCCCTGCCCCATGAGCGAGACCCAGGCGAAGCTGCTGGCCCCCGGCTCTGCCGTGCCCAGCCTGGGCTGTTACAGCTATCTGGGCAGTGAACCGGGAGATGAGAGATCTTCCTCTTAACTCTGCTTTTTTGAATAAATAATGAATCCTAGAAACAAAAACACTGACTGCTTGGCGAGGTCCGTGCACCTTGGGGTTTCTAAGGAGGCTGCTGAGCAGGTGCTGAAGCGGGCAGCAGCTCTAACAGGCTATCGCTGGCAGCAGTGCAGCTGGTGGGGAGGCTCGCCTGATGGCAGGACACCTCAGGAGCCGTAAAGCATTGCTTGGCTGAGACCTGCAGAAGCCTCAGGGTTGTCACTCAGGCTGAAACCCTCAGCTGGAGCCCATTTAATGTGGCCCTAGTCAGTCAAACTCCTTGGCATTTTGTTACAACAAATGCAAACCTCTGGTTAATCCTGCTGGCCAGAGGGCCAGATTCCCTTGGTAGTGTAGCTGGCTTTCTCAAGGCCGGTTTTGGGATGCACATACACCATTAACTACCTGTCTGAACAGACACTTTAGCTCAGCAGCTCGCGTTGTTGCAGACGCCAGGTGCAACATTCTAAGTGGACACAGAGAGCATCGAGTTCAGCATTTCCACCTCTCAGCCCTCACCAGACCGTAACCACAAAATGTACACTTCATGAGACAGAACCCACAGCCTAAGGCCACAAACTGGAGTTCCTGCAAAGGTTCCCCCTCAACCTCTGGGGAACAGAAGAAAGTGGTATGTGAACCCAACCAGATTTTAAGGTAGAAAGAAAGGCTTGCAGAGTTAGTCAGCTACCATGTGGACACTGAGTAACACTACCAGAAGGTTCCAGAAGCTGTGAGAAGCTATACAGATTGAGATCAGACTTTCACAGCAGAATAGATGGAGTGAGCCCCCTGAGAGGAGCAGGTGCGAGCAGTCTCCTGCTGCCGCGTAAACCAAGGGGTGCACTGAGAAGCAGCAGTTCCTTCTTAGCGGAGGTGACTTGTCCCATATGCTTGCAACGAGCAGCACGACGTTCACAGCTGTCCTTCCCACACAGACTTGTGACTGCAGTGCTTCGTCAGTTGGGGTGTTTTCTATGGTTCAGTAGCTTTCCCTGGCAGGTGATTTGCACCTCCAGACACAATTGGGAAGCTTAGAGCTCCATTAGCTTAGGCGACTGCTGCAAAACCCTGGAGCTGCCTTTCACACTCGATGCACTCTTTGGGGACGTAAATGAGAGAGCCTCGCCATCAACAAAGGTAAGCATGGGAAAGGACTACAGAATCAAGATGGCGATACAGACGAAGACTTTATAGCTTCAGTGAAGAAGAGGGCACATTTCAGGAAACGGGAGAGGACGGAACAACAGCAGAGGGCCACCTGGAGACTGACAGACACAGGAAAGCAGTGGACACAGGGGTGTGGTGCTGCTGTGACCTACACCCCAGCCGCATTCAGCCAGTGGTGATCGGAATGGCAGCCAGAACTCCACAGCAACGAGGTGGGAAGGGATGTTCACCAGGCCCTCCGGAGGTGAACCCAAACAACTGCCCATTCTACTGGTCTGTTTGATCTGACCAGTAGCTGAGACAGAGCAGCGGGTCCCAGAGGAGTTTTCCAGGAACAGGGTGGATTTCACAGCCCAGTCTGCCCCTAGCACTGAATTGGATGCCATTTTGTGTAGGGAGACAAATGCTATGGACAGTACTGCGCATGCGCTGAGCTGGAAGTGAGCTCATATCTGGCTCAGAGAACTGCAACAACGTGGCATCTGACAGGTTCCACCCAAGACAGGTCCATGTAACTCTCAGACCTGACAGCCAGCAGATCAAGAATTCTAGTAGTGGCACATCAGGCACCATTTTCTACATGTGACAAATGTTATAAGAGAACAGGGACAACAGTGAGCTGAACTGGAAGCTAACTCACTTCCAGCAAGGTGCACTACACTGGTCCCACAGGAAAACAATACCAAATATGGCATTGTGCAGGTCAAAATAGGTCCATGTGGCCACAAACTTAATGGCCAACAGGTTCCAGCAAGATCAGCCCACCAACAACCTAGCTGTATAGGACACCTGGTGCCTCCCTTATTCTGGGAACTGCTCGAACAGGAAGTGGGAGAAAGGTGTATAGACAACAGTGCAGCCTCAGCATGGTATCACAGGAGGTGGAGAGTACGGAGCCAGGACCTGGGGCTACAGAGACCACGGTGGAAATCTAACATAAGAACCCAGATCTGAAACTCACTGGAGGGAGTGGCACAACTGATTGCAATCAAAGAGCTGTGTACCAACTGCAATAAGTAAAATCGAACTGTAGACCTGTGGGTGACACAGCTTAGAAACCTGCCCCAAGAAGAAGAATCTGATAACCAGAAGTACAATGACCAAGAGCAAAAGAAGAGACAGTGGCACAATGAATCTATCTTAACACTCCCCTGCAAAGCAGAAAACGCCCTTGCCAACCTCACAGTTCACTGAGACTCCTGCAAGAAATCAACAACGTCCAAGGGGGAAGTCACCATTCCACAGCTGCCAGACTCACGAGAGCCGACAGCTGTCTTAGGAAGACATCAGCCAACAAAGACTTGTGTTCCCCTTTTCTCTCCTGCCCCTTACTCCAAACCTAGAGGTTGGAAAGTTTGGTTAACAAGTGAGAGGTAAAGCATGGAAAAAGCAGGAAGACGCCCGTCCTGTCCCTTTGCATCCAGGCTTCCCAACTTTCCTTAGGGCTTCTCTGCCAACAGAAGAGGAGTTATAAATTAGGGTGATATTCCAAGATTTGTCTCTTATTGGGGATTGAATATTCTCCCCCCCACACACACACACTGTTTCAGAAGCAACAGATAGACTTATAGAAACAGCTCCCATCTCTAACTTACTCCATAAGTACCTGCAAGCCTGAGGCCAGGACTGGGAACTCAATTCAGCATCCTGCTGGGTATCGGGAACCATCACCAAGCCATCACTGCTGCTTCCCAGAGTCCGCACTATGAGCAAGCTGGGGTTACGAGCCAGAGGAAGCAACAGAACCCATGCTAGTGTGGGACATGGCCATGCTAACCACGAGGCTAAAAGCCCACCATGACCACAAGCATTTTAGGGAAACAATTCAATGTAATTAAGATAGAGAACAGTGGTTCAAGAACAGGAGAGATAATCCTGATACTCAGATATAGAAAAGGAAGTGATGAGTAACAGAGAATAAAGGTCCCAGAAATGAGCTGGGGCTTTTCAATCTCAACTTTGGGATACATTACAGCCTAGTTGGTGCTCAAGAGGTCTCCCCAACTGGGTTGCTGTACTCTGTGGTGTCCGTGAGAGCCAGGACTGGGGGCAGGCCATGGTGCAGCACCCACCTGCATGAATGAGAGTCGAGTCCGGGGCTGGTCTGGTAGGCATTCTGGAGAGTTCCCCCCACCCTAGGGTGACATATCCACAGACACCTATGGGAGAAATGGCAGGTAAGGTCATACCAGGCTCCAGCACATGCTGAAGAGTGCAAGAGTCAGGACTTGGAGCAGGTCAGAAAGGGTGACCTGGTCAGGAGTGGGCCCCCAGAATCACATGAGGACCTCAGGCTGGAGAGAATCCTCAAAACTCAGTGACATCCCACTGATATGTGGTCCTACCATGGAGTACATGTTGCAAGACAGGGCCGCCTCCATTACTGATTTCAGAGAATGAACGAAGGATATACCCAGATGCACATGAAAGACAAGGTAACAGCACCTCTCATCCGAGAAGACCTCAAGCACTTCTCTCATGTATGGAAAGAGAGGCGAATGACACGGCACTTCAGGCCAGATTCTACAGAAACACTAGGCTTGTGCACACCTTGAAGGAGACACAAACAGAACCTACAGGAATAAGAACTTAAAGGAATAAAAAGCCCCTGTGGGGATACATGCAATAAGTCAACACTTTAAAAAAAGCTTTATTGGGAAGTCAGATTTACAGAGAGAAGGAGAAATTGAAAGTTCTTTCATCTGCTGGTTCACTCCCGAAGTGGCCAAAGAGGGCAGAGCTGAGCTGATCTGAAGCCAGGAGCCAGGAGCTTCTTCTGGGTCTCCCACATGGATGCAGGGGCCCAAGGCTTTGAGCTATCTTCTGCTCTTCCCAGGCCACACGAAAGGGAAGTGGAGCAGCCAGGATATGAATCAGTGTCCATATGGGATCCTGGTACATGCAAGGTGAGGACTTTAGCCACTGGGCTACCTTGCCAGGCCCAATCAGTCATCTCTTTTCAGTGAAGTCTAGAGCATCTTAGAGGATTCGAGATGATGTGGGGTATACAGCCACAGCTACTGAAGGGAGAACCTCTGGCAAGTGGTAAGCATCAGGTTAGCCACAAAGCAAGCTTAGGGCCACAGCTGGAGGTTGGCCTCCCCTGCTGTTTGTCAAGGTTCCCACCCACCACTGGACCAGTGGACGGAAGATCTTTTTATTTTTTCTTTAAGACTTATTTTACTTTTTTATGGCAAAGTCATAAAAAAAGGGGGAGGGAGAGAGAGAGAGGAAAATCTTCCATCCAATGATTCACTCCCCAAGCAATCGCAATGGCCAGAACTGAGCCATCTGAAGCCAGGAGCCAGGAGCTTCTTCCAAGTCTCCCACATGGGACTTGAGCTGTTCTCCACTGTTTTCCCAGGTCACAAGCAGAGATATGGATCAGAAGTGGAGCAGCTGGGACCTGAGCTGGCGCCCTTATGGGATACCAGCACCGCAGGCGGTGGCTTAGCCTACCACGCTATGGTACCACCCCTCTATACTGAGTTTGGACATGCTAAAACCTCACATCTGTGTTCAGAATTCAGCAGAATTGTGAGCTTTTTGTTATAAGACAGAAGAGCCAGTAGTTAATAAAGACATGTGTTCATATTTATTTGGAAATTCACAGTTTCTAATGGCACTACAGCTCTGTAGTTACACCAAATCCTGTTTCCACAGCACAGACAGTGCCATATCCGACTCTGCTCTCATCTGGACCTTGTAGGGCTCTGTACAATCAGGCCCTCCTGCTCTGAATGGCTAATTGTGCAGACTGGAAAAAAAAAAGGGTTTAAATCTTCTAAAACGTACTGTTAAACTAAAGCAGCAAATTACACACAAAAAGGCTTTAAATAGTCACATTATAAACAATACCCCCAAAAAAGGTATTAAGACAAGTTTAAAAAGTTATTGCCAAAAGTGCTCAATAAGTTATAACTTAAACCTTTTACAACACAAATGGTCAATTTTCTCCCTTCCAAAAAGAAACGTGTTCCACTTTCACTTATTACTGTACAATCACACACTAAGAAATCATTTTATTCAAATATAGTCATGGCCAATTATTTTTTTAAAGAAAAAAGAAAGACACATGAAGACACACAATGACACACACACACACCTCTGCACACTTGTAGCCAATGCAAAGCACACACCAGGGAATCCCTAGCCCTTCCAACTCGACCCTTCGGGCCAGCGCTGCCCGGTGCACCAGCTGCTCACGTACCTCCGGACACAGGCAGAGGGGATTCCCGAGACCTGGAGTTGTCTGCCAGCCCTTCCAAGTTTTATCCTTATAGTAATAGAAAACAGTGAGGTGAACCTATGGAGGATTTAGTGTTTACTGAGAATACTGAAAACCTTCAAAAATAGTTAAAGGTGTCTAAAGGTGAATCTATCAAAACTCGGTTTGCAAATACCAATCATTAGCAAGAAAAGAGCTAGGGTTTGGTTTTTTCGTTTCCTCATTAAATTAGCAACTAAAAAAGTAATCCGGTCTGAATAAATTAAATGAAAATGACATGAACACATCACCATTTGCCTAGAGCGGGTGCACTTCCTGTGAGTCTGCCTCCCAAGCCCCAGGATCCTGACACCACCCACACCGCAGAGCTCCAGGCACAGAACACCTCAAAGCCTTGTAGTGATCAAAGAAACCAAGCGACAGGAACTCCCCTTCTCTTGCATCATAAATAGACAAAGGCACATAAATATGGAGAGGTGCAAGAGACAGGACAGAGCTACAGGAAGAATTCAGGCCTTCACTCCTTCCCCACCGAGAACTGGGCTTCCACATGACCGCGGCCCAGTAAGTCACCTGTGAAAAACTATAAAACGTCTCCCATTGTCCTGTAGACACTGCAGCGCATTAACCAAGACGGACACAATCCGGTCTACTTCTGAAAGCGGCAAAAACCCTAATTGCTGAATACTTTTCCCATTGCTATTTCTCCCTCCCCAAGCCCTCCAAACACCACCGGCTGCCCCGCAAAGAGCGACATCTGCAGCACGAGGTCCTCTCAGATGTGTCCCGAGACTGCCGTGACGCCGAACGTGCCCACCGTGATCTCTTTGTTGCCCCTGATGAGGTCATGCAGGCTTGGCAGCGAGCCCGACTTAGTCTGTATCAGAGTCTGTATCAGCTTTCCTTGGTCTTGGACTTTGGATCGCCTCCGTTTTAACGCCCTCTTCTCAGTTTTTGTCTTTTGGGACTGTCCGTTGCACAGACTTGTGCAAGCTGAAATGCCACAAAAATAGGATTCTTCTGACTGAGACGAAGTTTCTGAGCTTCCTTCGGATGGAGGACCCTTGTAGGAAGAGTGATAAACTTCCCCCATATTAGAAAAGTCTCTCTGGTTCGTAAAGGGCTTCCTTCCTTTTATGTCTCCATTGGCTACAGGGTGCAATGGATCTGCAGGCTTTATGGTCTCAATTTTTTCAGTTTTGTACTTGCAGCGTTTCTTCTGTAACAAGTGAAAAACAAAACAAAACAAAACACAGAGGACAGGAATGAGACCTCCCAGTGGTTTAGGAAACATCGGCAGCAGAGCTAACGGGGCAGAGCGCCACCTCCTGGTGAAAAGGAAAAGCACGCAGGTATCACACAACATGGTGTTCCTTGTCGCCACCTTCCCATTCTGTATCCCGAGCAGAAACTCTAACCTGTCCACGTGTCACATGTGCACACAGACTCGGTTCCCCTGGGCACTAGCTAACACATCGGCCCTTACTTATCGCTAGTTCTTGGAAAGGTCCATCCAAGCTCAGAGGTTTGGAAAGCAGCAGTGGCCATGACTCCCGAGCTACTCTGGCTCTGAGGCTCTCTCACGTACAGACAATCCCGCCATCAAAGCGTAAGCGAACAGAAAAACACAAGCTATCAAGTCAAAAATCTCAAGTGCATCCTGGAAACCCGTCATCTATCCCTTCCACGAGGTTTCAATTTTCTAACTTAAAAACCAGGAAGCATCCTCTTCTGGTTTTAAGGATTACAGTAACAGTGAACTGCATGCCTGGTGGGCAAAAATCAGACACTCAATAAATAATGACATCCTCAAAGATTAGGTAGCAAGTAACAGATTTAAAGCTCACACCTTTCTCTCAAATAGGAATAATTCCAGAAGCTCATGGAAACATGGAATTAAGATGATATAAAATATTCTGAAGCACAGGCACAGTCCCTTAGGCGTTCCGTCCGCCTCGCGGAGACCCTCTGCATTCCTTTAAAATGAGAGCGTCTCCTCCAGCTCTTTTCACACACAAGTAGGTCACAGTGATCTGCGGGCCATACTTTGCAAATCCTTATAAAAAACACACTTAGAACGTTGTCATCATTGAAAATAAACAGGAAAACTTACACTTTATGTTAACCGTTTCCCCCTATTTCTTACTTACTGCCATATACACACACCTATAAACTTAGAAGTAGTAAAATGTTACCTTCTTTTCTGGAGAGAACTTGAGAGGTTCTACGATGTATAAATCATTTGTGTCTTCTACAAGTAAAGGAGAAAACAGACATAAATGAAAGGTGGAACATGCTACGACTAAACACTTAAAAGCAATCATCCCTTAATAAATGATCATTTTAATAGGATTGTTTGTGACATTTATGCTCATTAAATTGGTAATTGGGAAGAGGCAACATGGGAGGCAGATGACATCATTCTTGTTTTGGCCTAGATTGGTCATTTTCAAATAACTATTCTTAGTTAAACTACTATTTTTTTTTAAAGATTTCTTTTATTTTTTACTGTAAAGTCAGATATACAAAGAGAAGGAGAGACAGAGAAAGCTCTTCCATCTGCTGGTTCCCTCTCAAAGTGGCTGCAATGGCTGGAGCCGAGGCAATCTGAAGCCAGAAGCTGGGAGCCTCTTCCAGGTCTCCTACCCTGGTGCAGGGTCCCAAGGCCTCTGGCCATCCTCCACTCTTTCCCAGGCCACAAGAAAAGAACTAGGTGAGAAGCAGAGCAGCTGGGACATGAACTGGCACCTGTATGAGATCCCTGCGCATGTAGGGTAAGGATTTAGTCACTAGGTTACCGTGCCATGCCCATAGGACTCCTTTTTAACTACTAGCCAATTATCAACCAACAGAGTAAGAGCAAGCAACTATTTATCTGCCATGAAAAATAACCATATTGGGTAAGCTAACATTTAAACCAATAGAGCAGGTGAGTATTTCTCTGCAAAATTACATTGTACATTGTTGGTGTGAGAAATGCCTTGAACCTCAGTCCTGAAGGCCCTTGCCATGTTGGACTCAGTACTATTTTAAATATTGGCTTCCTTAAGATCCACGCACCCTTCAGGTTAAAATTCTGTTTTCTGCCAATCCACTGTAACTTCGTAACCCTGTTCCCCCCATCCACTGTAACATCACGGTACCATATTTGACAGTCCCATCCACCAATTCCTCGAGGCATCATTAGGATTCCCGCCCATCCACCAATCCCACACGACCCCAAAACAGGCACCCTCGGGCAAGCACTCTCTTCCTTGGGCATGCTGCCCCTTCTCCCATCCTCCTCCTTGCCCCACAACCCTGCCTCCCTTAGAGCCCCCTCCTGCCATCATGGTGGGAGATGTCCCCGTCCAATCTCTCCCCCTACCCTGTTGGAATAAAGAGCCTACCAGTGGCCTCACTGCATCTGGAATTTTGGCTTATTGTGGCAAACTTATCCTGAAAAGAGCTTAGTTTCGTGAAAGGGCTAACAGTTGGTGGGTTAAAAATGTGCAATAAGAGTTAGCACATGGATAAGGGTATTTCCAAAATTTGGTCAGAAATAGAATTAAACTGATTCTGATGCAAAATTGTTCGGAATTCATGGGTGGAGAGATCTTCAGGAAGTTCATGCAAAATGAATGCTTAAAAACTAATTAACAGACTTCAAAAACACTTTGTGCCAAAACAAACTAAATTCCATTTTCCATGAATCTTGCATTCACATGGAAGCTAGTTAGAACATACACATAAGAAGATTCAAGGATTTGCTTTATAGCCTTTTATGACGATGATTAAAACTACGAGTGCTAAAATCTAAAATAGCTTGAACTTGCAAGATACATGATCAAGTAATCCCCAGAATTCTGCCACACTGAACAAACAACCTATATTACTTTCAGCTCCAAGTTTTTTTTTTAAAGATTTATTTTTATTATTTTTTCATTGGAAAGGCGGATATACAGAGAGGAGAGACAGAGAGGAAGATCTTCCGTCCGATGATTCACTCCCCAAGTGAGCGCAACGGGCCGATACTATGCCGATCCGAAGCCAGGAGCCTCTTCCGGGTCTCCCACGCGGGTGCAGGGTCCCAAAGCTTTGGGCCGTCCTCGACTGCTTTCCCGGGCCACAGGCAGGGAGCTGGAAGGGAAGCGGGGCTGCCGGGATTAGAACCGGCGCCCATATGGGATCCCGGGCGTGCAAGGCGAGGACCTTTAACCACTTGCGCCACCGCGCCGGGCCCCAGCTCCAAGTTTTTAAGAGTGCATTACCAGAAGCACATTGAAGACACCCTCAGCCCCTCCCTGATAATGACAGCAGTCAGAGCACTTGGGCCTGTTCAACCCATTCAACGGAAAAATGATCCCACTCACATAAACTTGTAAGTAAATCTAATGTCAACCTTCACATATTAGAAATTTATGCATAATATGAACCAACCAATGGTAACTGACATTTAAAGCAATGTCAGTTAAACTCACAGGAGACCTCTCACAGGAAACTCTACAGGCAAGAAGAGAATGGTGTGACATATTCCAGATTCTAAAAGAAAAAAACTGTCGGCCCAGGATAATGTACCCAGCAAAGCTTTCCTTTGTCTTTGAAAATGAAATGAAATTCTTCCGCAGTAAACAAAAGTTAAAAGAATGTGCCTCCTCCAAACCTGCCCCACAAGTGAGACTTCAAAATGTTCTCTTGACAGAGAGGAGGAATAGCACTCACCAAAACCTAAGGCAAATGCAAAGAACACCCCAGTAAAATGACAACAGAAGACTAAATCAATGAACAGCCCATTGCTAAAATGACAGGACCAAATTACCACCCATTCATATTAACCCTGAATGTAAAATGGCTTAAACTTATCAATCAAACATCATAGATTAGTAGACTGGATTAAAAGACAAAACCCATCTATCTGTTGCCTACAGGAGACACATTTCACCAACAAAGATCAGCAGAGACTGTGTCTCATGGATTTGATTTTTTTTTGTTAGTTTCATCTCTTCAAAACACTTTCTTCTGATCAAATTCTTCACTGACTCATAGATCATACAGTAGCATCATTTTTTGCAAGAAGGTTCTTGATTTTCTTTTTCATTTCTTCAGCAACACATTAGTCATTAAGCAGCAGATTATGTAACTTCATGGTGTTGTTAATTTATTTTTTCTTCCTGCTGTTTATTTTGTTTTGTGGCTTTTCATTTAAGGGGATGTATAGTAACTGCATAATGGAGACTTTCATATCTAGCATACTGTTATTTAACTTCATGGCATTGTAAGTTTCTATTTTTTTTCCTGTTGATTTTGTACTGTGGCTTTTCATTTAAGGAGATATTTAGCAACTGTGTAATGGAGACTGTCATATCCAGATGTGAGGATGCAATGCAGTATGCATCTCTATTTCCAGACAAAAATGGACTGTTTACTATATCTTGACAATAGGCTGCTGGACTCTCTGCCACTGTCCATGCCCACAATGATGGACCTGTGACTGAGTATAACGAACTACACTACAGTAATGATATAGGGGAACTCAGTGAGGGGGAGGGAATTGGGGAGTGGATAAGGGACATCCCAGGGCCTATGGAACTGTATCATAAAATGATAATAATAAAGAGTAAAACAAAACAAAAAATACAAGCAAAAACAATAGTCACACACATATCATAACTGTGATGTTAACTGCCATGCAGTCTGACATCAGAAAGTTAATATAGTTGGTCTTCATGATATACTAAAAACGATGATCTTAACAGATGCTCAAAATGACACAGATTCCTGACGGTAGGGGGCTATTAGCTACCCAGGAATCAGTATAAATTCCTCCTGCAAAGATATCCACAAGATATCTATGACATCTAAACATTAAACATACCTAAGTATGTTTAATACTTCAACAATAAAAATCCTCTCTTTGAGAATAAGACACAACTCCTCTCAGCTACTTCTACTTACACTGCTGAAAACGCCAGCCACACAGGAGATGTGAAGAAAGCAAGCCGCGAGTGCTGGGAGGAGGCCAATCTCCCTGACCTGCACTCACGGACAATCCAAAGCAGCATCCACACGGGCCACCGCACTAACACGGCAACGCCCTGGACACGGACGGGCGGCTGCACTAACACGGCAATGCCCTGGACACGGACGGGCCGCTGCACTAACACGGCAACGCCCTGGACACAGACGGGCCACCGCACTAACACGGCAATGCCCTGGACACAGACGGGCCACCGCACTAACACGGCAACGCCCTGGACACGGACGGGCCGCTGCACTAACACGGCAACGCCCTGGACACGGACGGGCGGCTGCACTAACACGGCAACGCCCTGGACACGGACGGGCCGCTGCACTAACACGGCAACGCCCTGGACACGGACGGGCCGCTGCACTAACATGGCAACGCCCTGGACACGGACGGGCCGCTGCACTAACACGGCAATGCCCTGGACACAGACGGGCCACCGCACTAACACGGCAACGCCCTGGACACGGACGGGCGGCTGCACTAACACGGCAATGCTCTAAACGGAGGAGCTACAAAGCCAGGGAGCTGCAGTTTCCGATCCAGCATGAAAGAGGCTAAACAGTGTCTCCGTCCTAAACAGCTGAACGCGATGGTGAACAAGCAGGCCACATCTGCCAGAGATGTGAGGTGACAGGGCAGCTCATTACCTGCACACTGGTCACAGCTCGGTGGGGAAGACACTCAGAAGCAATCTCTGAGGGAACAAGAGCAAGGACGTATGACTGTGTTGGAGCCGACAAATTCTCCGAGGGTCAGTGTGGACCTAACTGAGCCTAAGAATTCAAAACTTAAGGGGACCCACTCATGGGAGGGGTCCTCAAATTGTCACACGGTTTCGGCCTCACCATTTAGTTTTTAAATTGTGTTCTTAACAAGGCCTGCTCTAAGGGAAGCTATTTTACCAGAGTCTAACTGTAGTTTTAGCGGAGCCTAACCTACTTGAGTTCTTCAAAGAAAATAGCCAAAGAGGGGCTGGCACGATAGCTCAACAGGCTAATTCTATGACAGTATGGGTGCTGGTTCGTGTCCTGGCCACTCCATTTCTGATGCAAATCCCTGCTTCTGGTCATTGGGACTACGCACCCATGTGAGACCAGAAGCCCCTGGCTCCTGGATTCCGATCAGCTCAGCTCTGGCTGTTGTGACCATTTGGAGAGTGAACCAGCAGATGGAAGATATTCTGTCTCTCCTTCTCTGTAAATCTCCCTTTCAAAAAATAATACATTTTTTTAAGATTTATTTTAATTGGAATTTAGGGGATCCTGGCACATGCAAGATGAGGATTTTAGCCACTAGGCTACCATGTTGGGCCCTAAAAATAAATAAATCTAAAAAAAAGATCTGATTCCCTCTAGCCATATGTCATTTCTTGATCTGGATGTTAGCTACAACCATTCATGTTACCATTACATCTTAGAGAGACCTGGAAGAAGCTCTAGGCTTCTCGCTTCAGAACTGCCCATCTCCTGCCATTTTAGCCATTTCGGGAGTGAACCAACAGATGGGAGAGCTCACTCTAACTGTGACTCTTTCCGATGAATGCAAACAGACCGATAACAAATGTTTCCTAACACAGAGGAACCCTGTGTCAGACGGTTTTGCTGGAGAATTCTAACAAGCATTTAAGAAGTCATGCCAATACCCTTGACCTCTTACCAAACACCACAGAGCAGGGGACGTGGAGGTCAGCATTGTCCTGGGAGAGGGGCAAGCTACAGACCAACAGCCATCCTGAACATGCAAAATCCTTCAGCAACACAAGCAAACAAAAACCAACAGCACATTCAAAGGACCAGTGTCCAACATAAGAAAATGAGGCAATTTAACACACAACAGAAGGACAAAAAGTAGATGATTAGCTGAATTGATAATAGAAAAATACTTAACTAGATTCAACATCTTCTCATGATAACAGAGCAAAACTACTCCAACATAATAAAAACCACTTCTAAAACACCCACAGCTGACACCACGCTTGCTGAAGACCACGCTGCTTTTAAGATCAAGACCACAGTATGGATGCCTGCTCTCACGACCCTCGTGTTCAACTCAGCCATACAAGTCCCAGCCCAACTCATCAGGGTAAAAAGAGAGTACCCAAACTGAAAAGAAAGGAAGCCTGTATTCACTGAGCTCATGGTTTATTCATAAAAATCCCTAAATACGTAAGCTCAGCAAACCTGCAAACATAGAAGCAACATGTAAAACTTAGTTGCATTAATAAGCATTCAATGAAACAATGAAACAGGATCCTTATTTTATACTCCTTTCCGGAAGTTACCATAAAAAGGATTAAAGAATAAAAACTACAAATCTGCTGGGAGGGAGCAGAGGGAAGCACTGCCCGTCTTTGGACTGCACAGTGACTCTTGGCTGGGCCTCCAAGCAAGCAGAGAACGAAGCAAACGGGAACATGCCAAACGTGAAAACACTCTGTGAGTCAAAGAACACAGTCCCGAGGAGACAGGACGCCCATGGAGTGGGAGAAATACTTGGAAATCATAGGTTTGGTAAAGGTATAAATCCAGAAAATAACTACAAAAATCACAGAAAGCAATCAAAATTGAGCAAAGGACTTGTATGCACATTGCTCTAAAGAAAATATATGACAAGCCAACAAACTGAAAGTACTGACTGTGTCACGGATTGTGAGAAATGCAAAGCCAAGCCACAATGAGACATCACCCATATCCATCAAACCAAAAGAACACGTTGGTGAGGCCTGTAAAGTGGTGCAAGAATGCGGTAAACAGTGCTGAGGTTCCACAAAAATTAAAATTAGGAATGCCACGTGATGTAGCAGTCCCATTTCTGGTGTGTGTGCAGAACGGCCAGCGAGGCCCTGGGCACGCTCTCCCGCTGCTAGCAGCTCTGTCACTGGAACACCACTAAGAGGGGGACGGACCAAACACAGTGTTCACAGCTCCTACTCAAGGGAAATCGTGCCTTATATCAAAGGAAACACTGTCCCTTAGTATCCTTAACACTCATTCATGTCATTACTATCTACGCTGGGAATGTCAATCACAGAAGAAATAAAAATGGGATGGTTACACTTAGACGGACTAAGGCAGAGCCAAAGGAGCAATGTTGAATGTGCACCTGATTCCAGATCTGTAAGATAAAACTGCTCTGGGGGTCTACACTATAACATCAATAAACTCCATATTAATGCTGTGGACAAAAATGGTTGATAAATTCTGTGACATGCTTTTTAACACAACTTTTAAAAATGAAAAAGAAATAAAGATCCAGTCCATTTTCACTGAGCTTAAAATTTCAAATTATAAGAAGCGTAAAATTATAGCGGACTACGATGAATGTCATAAGAAGATTTAATTTGAAAAGAAAAAACATAACAGAACCAGGGTTAAGGGCATCTCCTACTACTGTCAGCTTCAATTGCGAAAATAAACTGAGATGACACAGCTGCTTAAAACAGAATTGGCATTAAAGAATTAAAGAGAAACACCAAAAATAGCCATAAATATACTTAACATAAAAGAAACCTGGACATTTTAACAATATTTCTAATTACATGAATAGCATTCACGTAAGGAATGTACATGTGCTTACTAGAGAGGCAGTGTTAAACAGGATATGCAACTACTGGACGTCTGAGTCACATGGTAACAACGCAGGCAATCCACGAGGCGCTCTGGAACACTGCGTGACAACACTCGTGCTGGCGACCTCGGAGAGCTGCAGACCCAACTGAAGCGCAAGCATGTGTTCACGCACACACGTACTGGCACCGAAGGAGAGCGACTTCAGTGAGAAGGGACAAGCTGCAGAGGCTTGCCTGCAGGAAGCAATGCTGCACAGCAATGAGACCCAACAACCACAGTCCACGTCACACCTGAACGTCGAACACGGACCCACGTGCAGCTTACGCTCCCCATCAGGTTTCGCTCTTTGTTTTGAGTTTTTTTTTTTGGATGTGTGTGTGTGTGTGTTCAGTTTGTGAGAATTCATCAAGCTTACAGATAATAATTATACTTTTTTTGTATGTAATATTTTAATTAAAACTTGAGTTATACAAACTAAACTGTGAGAAGAGAAAGGAAGGGAGAAGGGTAATGCAGGAAGGAAGAAGAGATCGCCCCTCCCTAAAGCAAAGCCACAGCAGGTGAGTGAGGGGAGGCCCACGAAGCACCTCGTTAGGTTATAAAACCCCAAGAAAGCATGGCCGACTGCAACACACAATCGGGTTGGCTATTTTGATACTGCTACAAAGACAAACTTGTAAGTCTCTTAATAACCACTAATTACAAGGGTACTGAAACAGGAAACATTCAGTCAGAATATACACAATTTAAATGTTAGGCATTGAGTGTTAAACAATGAAACCCAATTAGAGAGTCTGGGGACATAAACAAGCCACGGGGCAGATATCGCTTCACAATCCTAAGCTAGGGACGAAAGGGTTCCTACCTGTCAGGACACAGTGGCAGATAAACACAGGATGCTGTGGCGCACTCAGGCTGGCCCTAGCTGCTGAACCTTCTCAGACACCCTTCCTAAAAGGATACTTCTAAACAGGAACAAATGTAAATAAAGCTACCCACTGCCAATCAATGACCTAAAGGTCCCTTCCCACCCTCTGGGGTTTCAGCACACAGATGTGAAAACGGTAACGTGGTTCTGACATAGCACAAACTTTTTTTTTTCCCAAAGATCTATTTTTGTTGGAAAGGCAAATCAGATTTACAGAGAGAAAGAGAGACACATCCATGCGCTGGTCCACTCCCCAAATGGCTGCCAATAGCCAGAGCTGAGCCAACGGGAAGCCAAGAGCTTCTTCCAGGTCTCCCACAGGGCACAGGCTCCCAAGGCTTTAGGCCATCCAATACTGGATGGAATGTGGAGCAGCTGGCACATAAACTGGTGCCCATCTGGGATCCCGGTGCTTGTAAAGTTAGAACTGCCACTGAGCCACTGCCTCATAAAGGTTTCTTGTACCCATTTGTTAACTGTAGACAGTAAAGAACCTAGCCCTGCACTACACGTGTGCCAGAGGTAAGCTGGTTTCATGTTGTCAGACACACACGCGCACACACAGATCAAAAACAGACTCATGAAGAAACCTACCTTCTCTGCCAGTTAGCTGGAGTGACTTGGATCTGATGAGCGGGAATGAGGTTCTTCTTTTCAGACTCATGTCATCATAGGAAGAGAAACACCTGACAGTGACAAGATGAGCACGGGAGCAATGAGTGAACTGTGTACACACCAGGCGCCACCAAGCCAGGCTCCACCAGCACCACACGCTAGCGAGGTGGCCGCTCTCCTCAGTTATCACATGTCAGCATCTTTCTCGCCCAAAACAGTCCAAGGGGCTCTATGCATGTGCTGTTACAGTCACAGGGCCATCTTGCTATGCCAATGATGTTTTTAACATCATAATTTCAGAATAACCACATCTAAATGTCCCTTTATTTGCTCAAACTTCTCAAAAATACCCAAAGTACTGCAAGAAAAGAAATTGTCCAACATGGCGCTCTTACCTCTTGGGGCTTGGATAGCAAGCACCTTCGGGAAGCTTTGGAATGTGATCGCCGTCAAACGGAGACGCATTTCGACAACGCTGCATACAAAGCATGAGTCCCAGGACAACGCAGAGAACCAAGGACATAACAAGATAGCTTTGCCGGTCGGACACCTGACAAGGGGTCAATCAATTAATTCTACTAGAAAAAATACAGGCATTAAAAATTAAAAGGAAAATCATGGTAAACCTGCTTCAGGGTCTCGCCTGCCTAACAGGCGACTCGCCATAAAGCAGCAGGGACTTTAGTGTCAAGCACCGCTGAGGTGACGCACATCGCTCCACTACACGCTTGTGACTTCCAATGACCAGAACAAAACCCGACCCAGCAGTGCCCACACAGTCCTGCCTGACCAGGCCCTGCCACAGCAGGAGCTCAGTTCTCAGTGTCCCGTCTCTCCTTCTCTCTGCTCAAGCCTCAACAATCTTCCGTCCTCAAACATACAATCCTGCTTGTAATCTTGGGTCATTTGCCTAAGTTCTGCTGGTAACGGGTTTATCCTTATCCCAGGCGATGTGTGGAGGATGACTGCAGTAGAGCACTCAGCTCTGAAGCCAGCTCCTCACCCCTACCTTGACACACACAGTTACCGTCCACACAGCACTTTACCCAGGAGCAGTTCTGTCTAGATGCCAGCTCCTCGCCCCTACCTTGACACACACAGTTACCGTCCACACAGCACTTTACCCAGGAGCAGTTCTGTCTAGATGCCAGCTCCTCACCCCCTACCTTGACACACACACACAGTTACCATCCACATAGCACTCTACCCGGGAGCGCTTCTGTCTAGTTATCTACCTACCATATATTTTCATTTTGTCCCTCACTGCCCAGGACCATCATACAGTTCACGGCTTGCATATTGGCTGCTAAAGAAATACTTGGGAACTTACTGAAATTTTTGCTTCTATGAAACTGTAAGATTTCTTCAACTGAAAATGAAGTATGTGTCGCTAGTAGCAGTGTCTGCAAAAGGCCTACCAGAGGAGCTTTATATCGACACTATAGTAAGATTAAGTTACAAAAGCTGTGTTTTACAAATACTTTTAATGATTAATATACTTCTAAGACTTGAAAGTATCATATTTTAGCGTTCTGAAAGATTCCTATAAATGACAGTTTGGTTTTAGGTACCATGAGCATCCTAACGAGCCTGCCTCGATGACAGCCCCACATCTGTACTGTGGTAATTACCTCCCGGGTTAACTCTGCTACCGTTCTTGATAAGTTTGAAACAAGCTGTGTCATGTTGGTCAGCTGTGCCTGTAGCAACTGGATGGCTTCAGTTTGCCGTTGATCCTACGATAAAGGATTAAGACTTATTATGCTTTGTATTTTCTCCGTACAGTAACCACATTATAAATTCAAGTAAAATAATCTTGAAATTATGAAAGATAACCATGAAATTCTTTCACCTCCATGGCCGAAAACATAACAAAAAGAAGCTCTTAGTGAGTATATACTATAAATTTAGGCAGAAATATAAAAAGCAAGTAAGGCATTTCAACCATTTGAGAGTATGTTCAATAATTTCCCTCAAAATTGTATGCTAGACCTAAGCTTTTAAAATTTAGATTCAGGGTGCAGTGGGCTAGTGGCGAAATTCTTCCTTCGCTTGCCTGAGATCCCATGTAGGGGCTGGTTCATGTCCTGGCTGCTCCACTTCCCACCCTCCCTGCTTGTCTCCTAAGAAAGCAGTCGAGGACGGCCTAAAGCCTTGGGACCCTGCACCTGCATGGGAAACCCAGAAGAGGCTCCTGGTTCCAGTCTATCTCAGCTCTGGCCATTGCAGCCATTTGGGAAGTGAACCAGTAGATGGAAGATCTTTCTCTCTATCTCTCCTCCTCTCTGTGTATCTAGCTTTCCAAATAAAAATAAATATTTAAAAAAAATTTAGATTCAAAGAAGTTTGAAGTCCCAACCATCTGTGTGGAAACAGCGTTCACCTATTTCTCTTACTGTGATCCACTGCAGTATTTCTCATCTACAGCATCATTTAAAATGCCAACTTTGACTTACATTTGACACTTAACTCACATTTGACACGAAGAAATTTAAGAGTTATAAACACTTAAAAGGCAAGCCATCAAATCTAATAAATTAATCAATGCTTTCAACCAAGATTTATTTCTAGGTATTAATGACACCTAGATCACAGAAAACCTTTATGCAAGTCGTTGAGACACCAGCTACAGATATTACACATGAAGCAAAGAGACCCAGAGGGGAAACCATTGTATCAAACCTCCTGAGGAGCTTATGGTCATGGGTTAGAAGACTTAATAATATTAAGATGTCAATTCTCTAATGTGTAAAGTTAACACCACATCAACCAAGATTCCAACAGGCTGCTTCTGCAGAAACCTATGAGCTGACGGTCACCTCCTAGAAGGACTTAACACTACTGACTCTAGGGTTACGACAAAGCTACAACAATTACAACATGACAGCGCTAGCGTAAGAAACAAGCATATGTAAAGAATAGAAACAAAGAGCCAAACAACCCAAGTATCCCAAGCTCAACTGATTTTTTAAAAATCAAAAGCACTAAGGAAATTGAAAAGGAACAGTCTTTCCATCAAATGCAGAACAAATGGATATTCACGTGTTTCTGCCCTCTCCCAAAATCAGCCCTCCCCTAAAGAACTCTGATTCACATTTTACAATGTACAAAATTAAAGAAATGTGGACCATTATAAAAAAAATAAGACTTGCAGAAAGAAACAAAAACAAAACCTTGGTAACTCCGCAAGGATTTTACAGAGCAATGATGGGCTGCTCTGCAGAGCTTTCCCAAGCACACAGCTTCTGCTCTCCAGCTACTCTGTGAGTGAAGGAATATCTTCAAAGCACATCTTTAACAACTTGCATTCACAACATGTAAAGAAATAGCAAGCTTCAATAATGCAGAAACGACATGGAAAAGCTATACTATACATTTAATTCACAGTATGGTGTAACTGACTACACTGTCACATTTCACTATCACCTAACCCCAAACAACTGGTTATAAAATTGAGGTATAAAATTTCAGCACAATACTAAAATTATGCCATTAAAATCAAGCTAGGGGAATGGGCATCATGACCAGTACTAATGCATTACTACAGAGCTCACGAAAGAGATCAGAAAATAACATAATAAGGTATGAAGATCAAAGAGAAAAAATGAAGGTGTTCTTATACTCAACAAGATTATCTACATGGAATATCACAAAAGATTTTATAGTGTTTAACAAAGTTGCCAAATAATTTATTGCATTTCTACACACACATTCAATATGAATATGCACACATAACCAACATGAATAGTCTAGAAAAGATAACGATCTTAACAGGTGGATGACTTTCCAAACCTGACGTCACAGCACTCAGCACATAACGGGTGAAGTAGACCAACCTGTTCCTCGGCTATTCTTGAAGTATTCTGAAGTTTCACTATTGTTTTATTAAAAGCTTTTTGCATTTCCTCCATTTGTTTTCGGTACCTATAGAGTAAAAGTTGATTTAAAATAGCTTTAATTTCTTCTGCATTCACTTAGTACTGAAACACAACTATAAAAAGCCAGTTTTTTCTAAAATGACTCTTAATCACCCTGTGCAATGAAGAAACGCAAAAGCCTAATAAAGAGATATTAGCTCCCAACACTGACTCGCAATACCATACCAAATCTCGCGATGTCTGTGGATCCCTTGGAGTGCAGATGGCAGGGCAGGCAGAGGGCAAGGAAATGACAGCAGGTAAGAAGTGAACATGCACCACATGTGCATTCATACACACACAAATTACAAATAAACCACACATATGCATTAGGGCTTCACTTCCTACCTAAAACTACCCCAGCTCTTGTGAATGGCAGTGCAATGCAAGGGCTGCAGGAAGAGGCAGTATCTCAAGAGCTCTGCACACTGGTGTCCAGGGGATTAGAAACGCTGGGGGAGAAGCTCTAACAACATGGAGTTAATGAACTTGAAACATGTAAGATGACCAGCACTGTAACACATCCAGCCAAGCAGCTATCTGCAGTGTCAGCATCCGGCAGCCCTTCTGCTTCAGATCCAGCTCCCTGCTGACGTGCCTGGAAGGACAGCCACACACGGCAGGCCTGGCAGGCCTGAGGCTCTGCGCTTCTGCCCCACGTAGTGCTAGCCCCTGCAGCCATTTGTGAAGTGAACCAAAGGTTGGCACTTCTATTGCTCTCGCTTCTCTCTGTAACCCTGCCTTTCAAATAAACACATAAATCTTAAATAATTAAAAATTTTAAAAAGTTTGAAAAACAAAAAGAAAAATATAAACCGTGCTCGTGGTCTTAACCACTGCACAGATGTGCTGGCCCAGCCTCTGACACGGAAGAGCAAAGGTATAAATGAGTACAACTACAACTATAATTCTAGGACTGGATGAAAGAGTGCCAATTTTAAGTCTTGTCACCCAGTTCAATATCACTTTGTTTTTAATGGGCCAAATTGTCCTATCGACTCTAAGGTCTACATACTTTTTTTTTCCATAAATCTTTTGGGAATCAAACAGAAGGGGCTAATGTTAAGCAACAGAAACAAATGGCACACATACAATTCAAGCTCACTACCAGCCTAATAAAAAAGATGTTATCTGCTATTAAGCAGTAGCTATAAAGCTTTTCTTAAACAGTAACTCTAAGTTACTGGTCAGTATGTAAATGATCCCTTCTACTCACACCCCTGAGACAATCCCATCATGAGACGGTCCCATCATGAGACGGTCCCATCATGAGACGGTCCCATCACGAGACGATCTCATCATGAGACGGTCCCATCACGAGACGATCTCATCATGAGACGGTCCCATCATGAGACGGTCCCATCATGAGACGGTCCCATCATGAGACGATCCCATCATGAGAAGGTCCCATCATGAGACGATCCCATCATGAGACGGTCTTATCATGAGACGGTCCCATCATGAGACGGTCCCATCATGAGATGATCCCATCATGAGAAGGTCCCATCACGATGAGACGGTCCCATCATGAGACGGTCCCATCATGAGACGATCCCATCATGAGAAGGTCCCATCATGAGACGGTCCCATCATGAGACGGTCTTATCATGAGACGGTCCCATCGCTCCCTCCGTGTAACTTACCAGGGGAAGTGAGCGTTGCTAACCCTAGCAGAGCTTACCTCTGGCTAAGCTCTTCCAGATAGCGGCCACTGAGAGACATATTAACTTCGAGGGCTTTAATACGGTTATTAAGTCTCATAAACACTGATTCCTTTTGGTTGGATCCATGTACAAGGTTTCCATTAGCATATCCTAGATCTGTAGAGTTTTGTAGTTCAGCATAAAAGTCTGTAGCTGTCCTCTGTAAGCCTCTTAAAAGTGCATCTTCTGGAGATGGCTCTTCCTCTTTCACTTCAGGTAAGGAGGAAGAATCTCCACCAAGAGTCAAAGCCAGCTTTGGGGTGTCGGCTCTGTTCATTCCAGCTTCCCCATCTTCACCGTCCAGCACAGTGGCTGTAGGCACAGGTGGCGCTACTGGTTCTGACGGCACGGCGTTGGTAGCATCTGCTCCCACAGCACCACCCGTTACCTCGCCACCCTGCTTCGTTTCAGGGGGCACGGATGGCTTCTCCAGAGGGCTGAGGCTCTCAGACTTCCTTTCTGTTTCACTGTTTACCTCAACAGAACTTTCTTGAAGAATCACTTGTGACGGTGTATGTCCAGTCTCGTGTTTAACAGATTCAGGCACTTGTATTTGAGATAATGAGCTGATTTCCGGAGTACTATCCAAGAAAAGAGACTGGGAAAGAGTTTGAGAGTGGCTCGGTTCCAGTTCAATTGCATGTGCAGTGTGATTCATCGAATCACCTTGGAGCATACCACTGAAGTCCCCACGCACTGCAGTCTCGGCTTCCTTGTCCACGCTCCCACTGTCCGACTCTCCACTCAGTGTTGCTGCAGCATCCACAGCTTCTGCAGGCGGTACTAACTGTGGAGGAGCTGATGCAAGAGGGTCTCCTTTGCTCACAGCAACTCTGCTGTGCTGAAGATAACGAGTAACTCCAACCGAACACTGTCGATAAATGTATTCGGAAAAACTAGAAATGCAACAAACTGTTGTCAGGTCACCACAAAATGTCTGTGTCTCTGACTCAAACCAGGGTGAAGCTTCATCTTCTTGTTCTCCACTGCCTAGAAGGGTCACTGTGGAGGGGCCTGCCTCCTCCTCTTCCTCTTGAACGAGCTGTACAATGGGACTCTCTTTCGGAGCATCTGCTGATGGCTCTGGCTCCTGCACAGCTTCAGTGGTCACATACCTAAACATATAGATCAGAAGTGTAAATCATTTTCAGTACAAATCAAAAGTAAAATACGCTAAAGATTATATAGACACATTGGCTACAAATCAAGAACAAAACAATAAGCACTGCTCCAAAAATGGTAACAGAAACACTGCTCAGTGAAGTGGCCAGCACGGTGCCTCTCAACGCATTCATCATCTCCAACCTACTCTTCCACGACTGTTTATAAATGAATACTTCCATACAACCTATAATGCAAGTTTCGCCCTAAAACTGTTAACAGTCTTTACAAGCCTCATCACCCTGCTATAGGTTGGAAATCATAATGCCCAAGAGTTATAACAAGAATCTTGGATTCCTAATATTTATAAATGCTTCATATGTTTCAACATCCTGTTTTTAAATGGTGGCTAGGTTTCTCAAAGATAATTTCTCTGTGATGACTTCAGGAATGCCAACATGGCATTATACTTAGGCGTGGACGGACACACAATCAGCTGCCTACAGGAAAAGAAACATGCCCCTTTCTTAAAACAAAACAAGCTGTTTTCCAAGTGTTCATCGCAATGCAAATTATAAAAATGATCATGGGAATAAACATATATTTGCAGCAAAATAAACTACCTTCTAAATCCACTTTCTGATAGACTTACTGAGATATAGACATCTCATCTGGGTTAGTTTTCTATTATTAAAAGCCAAAAATGTAATTACTTCAAAGAACATTCTGCCTTATTTTAACTGACAGTGCCACAGTGCTAGGCCACCTCTGCGTCCCAGGGCGTGTACACGGCGTAGAAGACAGCAGAAGAACAGGGCTGCTGGTAAATAAGCAATACAACGCCTACTGTTCCTCCAAAATAAATATAATTAACCTCTGAGTTCGGCCTTAGAGCACAAAAGGTATACAATATGAAAAGATAAGTAATTTTGATACCAAGAAGAATTATCCTCATATACACATACTCCCACTGCCAGGACACGTCTTCAAATAAACACTAGTGTTAAATAGCCAGGCAGAAGCAGTGAGACAGACAATTCCCAAAAACTGAACTCAAGTCACAGTGACATCTTGAAGGACCAACTAAAACCCAGAGAAGATACAGTCTCTGATAACATACCCTGCATATTCAGGTGGCATTTTACTTCCTATCTTTAAAAAAAAAAAGCCACAGTAAAAGCATGTCTGAAAGGGAGGAAAAAGAACCAGATTGAGAATAGTAAAAATTAAGCTACCAACCATCTAAAAATACTCTAATGACACCTAGAGTTAAAAGGGCAAAATTCAAATTCACGGGGAAAAAAAAATCAGCTTTTAAAGTAACATCCTACCACAGATATTCACTCTCAAAAGAGTTTAAGACAAGTGCACAGTGGCATGGCCCAGTGGCTAAAGTCCTCGCCTTGAACACACCGGGATCCCATATGGGCACCTGTTCTAATCCCGACAGCCCCACTTCCCATCCAGCTCCCTGCTTATGGCCTGGGAAAGCAGTCGAGGACGGCCCAAAGCTTTGGGACCCTGCACCTGTGTGGGAGACCTGGAAGAAGTTCCTGGATCCTGGCTTTGGATCGGCATAGCATTGGCCATGGTGCTCACTTGGGGAGTGAATCATTGGACAGAAGATCTTCCTCTCTGTCTCTCCTCTCTGTATATCTGACTTTCCAATAAATAAAAATAAAAAAGTTTAAGACAAATAAAAATGAACAAGTAAAAATAAGTTAAACAAAAATAACTTTTAAAAACTGACACAGAAAATAATAACTAATTATATATAAATATTCATACCCATTTATGTGTGTACATTAATAGATACAAAAACTGGAGTTAGTTTTATTTAGTTTAGAAAACTAAGATACACCATGTGTTACTCCCTGAAGTCAAGTGACTCAGCAAACTCGGAATACAACCCCAGTTCCACATTATCAGACATACCCAGAACGTCTCTATTCCTAATAGATTTCTCAGGTCTTCTAGGAATCAAGGAAATACATTTTCTCTGTAATCATCCAATAAATACCTTTAGTCATGTTCCAGATTAACATAGAAGAATATATATTTCTTTTCATAACTTTCAAAGTACAAATTTATTTTTTGTATCAGAATAATACTTAGGAAATACAATTATAAGCAAACTGTGCGAATGTTATTATATGTCACCTTAAGTGCATCTTCTTAAGTACAGTTCCTCTATTGGAGAAATGAGTCTTCAAAGTTTTACAGAGTATATTTAATAAGATATACATAAATCCAATCTTTAATAGCTATACCCAATCATCTAAGTCATTACGGACTTGTTATATATTACAGCTAACAGAGACACTCCCAAAAAAGTACTCAGCTACTTTAGAAGAACAGAAAAAGGGAGAAAAATGGTTACCTATATACACATCCTTGTCCAAACTGATATAACACAATGAGGAGAAAAACCTGTATAATCCAGTTTATGAACTGGAGCACCAAGTGTGTTGTGTGACAGAGTAATTGCTCTTTAAGATCTCTGGTACTTTCTGGAGTTTTACAGAGGAACCAGAGATGAACAAGCAATGCTTTGAAGCTTATTTAAACAAACCAGCCACCAAAACTTGTCGTTAAGCCAATACTTTGCACAATCAAGTCAATTACAGGAGTAAAGGAATGTTACGGGACTGTGAATGATCACAGTAGTATATGACATCAAACAAATGCTTGTTCTAGAAACAAGTGCATCTCTGGCATCCACACACAAGGAGAAGCCCAAGGATGCTCTACAGAGAATCGTTTCACACAAGAGTTACAAGTCCTCTTTTTGTACTAGTGTGCCCAGCTCTTTGATAGCACTCTATCAAAACTTACTCAGGTGCCAGAACAGGAGTGGAACCAGGAGCCGACTCTGGTGTTTTAGGTGCAGCTGTGGCTGAGGCATTCTCAGATATACTTTTATTTCCTATGTTAAAAAAGATGTCAATGTTGAGTTCAAGTTTGTCAAAAGCTCTATCATGAAAATACCTTACCATAACAAATAAAGGCCTTCAGCTTCCAGGGCAGAAGACAATAGTCAGGTGAGCTTGCTACTGTAGCCTTTTCTGTTCAGAGTTCTTTTAGAAAGGAATGAATGCTAGAAGATCACAACTACAAGAAATACATGCTATCTGCCAACTTCTCAGATACTTAACGTAAGAAGGCAATGAATTCTGCATAATCTTACATAATTAATATGCCTTCCAGACACCCGGGAGAATCACTGAAGAGGAGATAAAGGTTCCATTTCTAAGTTTGCACTAGGAGCTAAGCAACTTTTAACAAAAAAGACAAAACTGTTTCCCCTTGAAAGTAATATTCTTATATTCTATTCTGTAACAATAAAATGACTTCCTAAATCGAATTACTGGCTCCATAAAGAGAAAGCAAATGAAGCGCACCACTGGGACATCAACACGTCAGTGACGACAAGCAGGACATCACCGTCACAGTGAGGGAGGACTGGGAAGCAACGCATTCACTTCACATACACAGGACTTCCAATCCAAACATGCGATCAAGAGTAGAATTCTGGAAAGCTCCTTCTGGGTCACACATTTCTAAATGAAAAATCAAATTTTCTTGGCTTATTACTGACTTTTTCTTAACTAGAAGGATCCCTGGACTGCAGATGACTTAGAAAGACTCGTAAAACGATACATACCTTCTGTCAAGTCTTCAGTCTTTGCTCCCAGAATATTAGCAGCAATATTCACCATATTTAGAATGGCATCTAAAACAAAATTCAATCAGAAAAAAACCAATACACCTAAGTTACAACATGAATATCAGATAGTCAAAAAAACCTGCAGTGGTCTTTTTGCGTTTCTTTTCATAATGTCTTTTTATCTCCCTTATTAATTCAGTCCAAAGCAAGAATCAAATACATTTTAGCCTCAGATATAAAGCATAAATCCAAATTCCTAGGAATTTTAAATTTAAATACGCTTTTGGTTGTAAAGTTTTCCCAAAACTTTTTGAAAACAGTATTCACCAGATTACCAAAAGGTGTAATTCAATATAGTCTGTACTAGATCTGCAAATGTGATAATCAAAATCCGTATTTTCTTTAAAAGAAAAAAAAAATCTACAATTTAAGACAAAAAGAGTTTGAAGAAAAAAAGGTTTTCCCAAATGGATGACTGCTTTTTCATTATCAGCATATAATATTCATTAGTAACACCATTAAATTCCAAATTCATAGTGCTCCTAGAGAACAAATACCTCTGATTATTTTCAAAAACTCACTGGTCACAATGACATTTTGTTGTTGATTATAAGACACAATGTTTCATGATTTGCATGGAAATGAAGCAAAACAGGTAAAAGTCAAAACCATACAACCCTCAGGGTTGTGACCGAACCACTGGCCTGCTAGTTAACACTGTCGCCCATCCCAGGAAGGGTCAGTCAAAATCTTTAATGTGTCCATGAGGAGGACCTCACTCAAGTCACATTTGCACAGGAAGCTGGCGCCAGCCACAGCAAGGCTTCCACCCAGCAGCGCAATATCATTTCAAGGGAAACTAAGCTCCCCCTCCAATTTATCTTCTGGAATTACACTACAAGTCAGCGACCCAGCATCAGGCATCCCTATGAAAATACTAAATGCAGCAGGGCTACACAGGAAGACTCGTGAGTTATTTCCAAGTTTCCCTTCCTAGCAGAGCACACCAAAGCATCTCTGTCCCAATGAGAATCAGAGATGTGCGGAGCAGGAAAGGCTCTGAGAGCTATCTGGCACATCAGGAAGGCTGTGTACACACGTGTGTCCAGAGGGAGAAACCTGACTCGGAAGTCTGGGGCGCTAGCTGGTAGTAGGTCACTGTTGCTTTGATCTTCATCTAATGACCTGATCATCTGAAAGCCATCTGACAGCAGCACTCTGCTTCCACTCGTCAGCGTGACATTTGCCATTCTGAACTGTCACAGACCTCAGCCTGGCAAATGCATGGACAGAGAAGCAGCCCTGAGCCCCTCAGAACAAGGGAACACCTGGAATGGAAACCCAGTCAAGTTAAGGACAGCAGAAGCTATTATTTCCTCATAAGTCCACTTTCAATGCAAATCAATGCTATACTGTTACATAAACTCCCTTACTTACACTTAGATTCAAAATCCAAAATGTGTAAGAAAGTCTACTTCACACACCCTTTGAGTGCCAGTGTTGAAGTCCAGGCTGTACTACTTGTGATCCAGCTACAGCAGGGCATGGCCTATGTCCTTGGGTCCCTACTCCTCCGGGGAGAGAAAGAAGCGGCTCCTGGCTCCTGGGAATGGCCCCTTGAAGGAGCGAACCAGCCCATGGAAAATGTCTGTCCTCTACTCACTCTGACATTCCAATAATAAGTACATCTTAAAAAACAAAAAAAGAACTTTCCTATTTTATGAGAAAACTTTTTTTTTCTCTTAAGAGCAAGCAGGATAGTGAACAGTCAGCTCATGCTCAGCTTGCATCCAAACTCGTGATAGTTTGTCACCAGGATGACCCAACTTGTCAAATCCTTTCAGAATAAAAGAATCATGTGGAACATGGAAAAACAGAACAGTTAACTCCTTGACTGGGGAAACTTACTCACAACCTTCCTTTAGGAATTAAGCTTTTCTAGGAATTTAGTATTTCCGTATTATGAGTCTCTGGCACACCAATGGCTTCTTCTGATGTGCACACCACACTTGTCCAGGTTGCTGAGGCTAAGTAGTTTATGGATATAAACTATCAGATAAACTGATAATCCCACCTTCTCCCACATGTTCTCGGGTACCTCTAAACGAAGACTATTTCTATTTTCAAGACCTTGAAATATGTATAAAATACATTTTGATTTAAAAATTATTTAGCAAATATAGGTAATAAGGTAAATAAGGTAATTTAAGCAAAACATGGAACACATACATACCTAAAAGTAAAAGCAGATTGGCAAGAATAGCAAAGTAAACAAGAAAGCCCAGGACAAGCTTGTTGGTAGAAGATTTCAATGCTTTAGCTTAAGGATGTACCATGAAGAGTTGGGTCGGGAAGTTGCCAGAACTCATAGATACAAGCCGAGACAACGGTCTCCTATCATGGCTTCTCCTTGCAGAGCAGTGAAGTACATTATATGTTAGAAATGTTTAGGGGCCATCACCTGGGACGCTGTCAGCCCATCCAGACACTAGTTCACTAGTTCAAGTCCTGGTGCTCTACTTCTCACACACTCTGCCTGCTAATGTGCCTGGGAAAGCAGCAGAACACCATCCAAATTCTCAGGCTCCTGCACTAACTCAGACTGGCTGAGCTGTGGCTATTGCCGCCTCGTGGGCAGTGAACCAGCTAACGGAAGAGTCTCTTTCAAACCCTGCCTTTCATATTACACATATCAATTTTCTTAAACACAGAGTGCTTAAGTATGTGTTATACATACTTTCTGATAGCGTGCCCAGGCCCCACCTGCCACCATCATGGATGGGATTGGAGAGGGGGCGAACTTGGGACCTGAGGATTTAAACTTCCAGCAGCCTGTTGGTGACCTGTCCCTGGGTGGCCAGTGCACCATTCAGCACCAGGCTCTACCTGCTGGCCGCCTGGTGGCCAGCTCTGGGGCTTTGGGGCTTTGAATTACTGCTTAGGTATCTCCATGTCAAGCCCACTGTACTTCTGGAATGTCAATCGGTCCTAAAGAATCCCAACAACAGAGTAACTTTTCCTTTGAAGGTTAGCGAAGGTAACGAGACCTAGTAAGTTGGAGGAGAGGGACCAGATGATCTTTATGGATAAGACTGATATACCAAGCTCCTTTAAATACTGTGTAGTACTTATAATCACAAAACATCAGTACATGCAAAAGCTAAGGCTCAGGGCTTGTCTAGCAGGATCATATCCTATTACCTGACATGTTGATTGATCAGGAAATGGGTCATATTAGGCAGGGGCATGAATTAAGTAGCACACGAGACAACCATATCCAGGGTAGATTCTGTGGGGGATGTGTGGGCCAAACCCCGTGGAAATACTAACCCCACTGGTTAGCTCAAGAGCTGAGGTGGTGATGGACTAAGCTAGGTGTGACCAAGGAGCCTGCCATCACTCATGGATAAAGGAACCGACAAGTCTGGACTGCTCAAGGCAGCAGCACCCAAATGTGCATCCTGAATAGGGTGTGCGGTGGGCCAGGCTGCAACGTTCACCAGCTCATACAAGGCCAAATGGAAGGCTAGACAATGCTGGACACTGGCCTAACACCCACTGGCATGTATGAGAACTGGGTCTGGGAGTGGGTCAAGAGGAGGAACTTGGGAAACTCACCTGGAGGGTCATAGCTCCCACTGGTGAACACATGGTCCAGACTTGGAGGTTGGACAAGCTAGGCAAATAGCTCCAATGGCTGGCTAATGTGTGAACTGGTAATGGAATGGGGTGGACCGGGCAGGACTGAGCAAACCTTAGCCCACAAGCAAAATTAGAAATCAGGATGAAGCACAGGTCATGCCAGGCTAGGCTCTTGCTGGTCTGCGTGAGCCAGGGACCCTAGGCCACAGTATAGTAAGGAAAGAGCTGGGACAGGTGAGGGGCTGAGCCAAGCTGAGTCAGAGCAACCGCTGGCATGCATGTGATCTATGGCTGGGAACAGGCCCGGTTGGGGAGCTAAGAGGACACCCTACCTGGGTGGAGGGTCCCACCAAGGGGCATGGGGCTGGAATGGGGGCTGTGTTCTGATCAGGATACGGTTGTAGTCTCACTTAGCACAAGTGTAGACTGGGATTGGACGCACCACGCCAAGTTAGACTCTAACACCATCTGGTGCTCTGGAGGACCAGGGTAGATGTGGGACAGACTAGGCTAGGTCTCAGCCTCTACCCAGCCATGTGTGAGCTGTATGTGGGTATGGACCAGCCTTGGCTGGGCTGAAACATCCAACAGTAAGAACCAGATTGGGTTGAAGGCCAGTCAGGAAAAGCCACTGTTCCTGCTAGGACAGGAGGTGAACTGAGTAGGCCTGGCTCATGGACCCCCTGGTATGCGTGAAATCTGACATTGGGAGAGGTTCTGATGGAGGAGCCTGGGCAACTCCTCTGGCAGGACACAGACCTGCAGGTAAGCACAAGAAGTAAGAAAAGAAACAGCCCAGAATAGGCCATGGAAAGTTTCCCACTGGCATACATTTGGCATGGGTCGGGGGCAGATCAGGCTGAATCAGCTCAGGCTGAATCATCCACTGGCAAATCGAAACAGAGTGTGGGTCGAGCCAGGTTCAGTTGTGACAAAAACCAATGCACAATACGGAATGCCAAGGTGAGGTTATCTATACCAGATGTGACTGCAGCCAGCATCCAACCAGCACACATGAGAACCAGCAAGAGAGGTGGCGGAGCCGGCAGCGGGAATATGGGGGTACTCCCCTGCTGGACAGCTACTCCCACTGGAGAGCGTGAGCTGGGATGGGTGCAGACCAAACTAGACAGGGCTACAACACCTGTGGGCCTCATGTGGACTAGATCAGGGAAAAGCCAGGCTGGGTTGACTGTTCCGACTTGTGCAAGCATAAATGAGAGTGGGTGAGGGTTGGCTGGGCTTTTCCGCAGTATCAACTGGCAGAAGCTGGCACTGGGGGCTAATTCTGTCAAGTTAAACTGCAGAATCACCTGGAGAGTGCATGATCTGGGAGTGGGCGTGGCCTAGAAGGGAAATAGTGGGCTCCTCCCTCTTGGATTACCACCCCCACTGGAGGACACAAAAACCAGAACAGGGGCTGGGGTCGCTAGACAGAAAGGCACCCAACAGCATGTGTGTGGGCTGGATAGTAGGGCTCGTCAGGTTGAACTAGCCTTCAATGTCCATCGACATGTTTGAGAGCTGAATGGGATGTGGGACAAACTGGACCAGTCTGCTACACATACTGGCAAACCAGGATAGGGGCGGGCCTGGTGGGGGTTATTGTGGGTCACTCTGACTAGGCTGCAGCTCCTACTGGTTTATGTGAGGGCCGAGTGTGTGCTGGCAGAACAAGGCTGGAATGCAACACCCATTGGTTCGCGTGGAAGACAGCACTGGAAACAGAACCGACCCAGCAATTGCAACCACCAGCTGATCTGGGCAATGGACTGTGCCGGGCTCTATACTTGCTAGTATATACAAGAATCTGGTCTGGGAACACCTCAGACAAAGTTTCTTTTGGCATCTCCCCAGTTGAAATGCCAGGCTCAGAACCCTAACCATGAAAAGACAGAGGACAGAACAAGTCAATCAACCACCTCAGCCATATGTTGGCAGTGAAAGACTGGCCAGATGGAAACTCTAAGGTGAACTATGTCAATCAGTGGATTCTTCAATGACCTCATCGTGCTTAGAAAGGCAAGTTTAGCAGCAATTCATAACTGTTGAACTACCAAAACCACTTGAGCAAGAGGCTCAGAGCATGCCCCACATCCGGGATCTGGGGTAGGTGGGAGACTGGGTGGGGCTTCTCCCTTAAAATCCCCCTTTATCTCAGATACATGAAGGAAACAATGTGGAAATAATAGTCTTACCCACTTTCCTGTAGCCCTTAAGTCTTTTTACCCTAACTGACTATGTAAAGATTGTCAAAAATATAATAAAAAATGGAAAAAATGATAAAAAAACACATACTTTCTGATAACCATGTCGCATCAGAAGCATAATATATTCTAGTGACACACTCATATATTCCCTTTAATTACTAACTACAAAATGAGCATCCCCAGTACAAAGCCAGGAATTCAAAATGTTCCAAAATTGGAATTTTTGATCACAGCCATAGCATTATGTGAAAATTTCTACACCTGACCTCATGTGGTAGCTCACTGTCAAAGGCACACTGGCAAGACTACATAAAATTATCATCAGGATATATGTATATATATCATATATGTGAAACAGAGAAATTTTATGTTGAGAGTTGGGTATTATCCCTAACATGTATCATCAAGCATGTATATACACCCTAAATTATGAAATGCTGAACACTTACAATCCAAGCATTTCTGATAAGGGGTATTCACCTGCTCTTCCTAGCAGGAAGAAAAGATGTTTCTATTACCACCAAAAACTAAATGCTACTTTGTAGATGGCCAAGTGCAAAACACACACACACACACACACACACACACACACACACACACACACACACGAAAATTCGGCTTGAAGCAGCAAGCCAAGCTGCAGCTAACTCAGAGTTTGGTCCTGATGACAGTAAAAGGCAGCCACTGCTGTGACAGATGCCGGCGTGCCCTGGCCCGGTGCTGCACTGTCACCATCCTGTAGGGCCGAGCTCAGAGAACACACGGGGAAGGAAACAATGTCAGGTCCTCCTGCTCTGAAACTTACACGATGGAGACCCAGGCTCCGGTGACTTCCTCCCACTCATCTCACATCTAAAACACTGCAAGAGAAAAGAACTAACTGCCCCTCTAGAGAGCTGTAAAGAGAAAAATAATGATGCATTATCAAGAAATAAGAAGCTTCCAGAAAAAAAGACTCAGAAAGCATGATCTAAACAAGATCCTCTAAGTAATTAAAACACATGGCTCAGAGAAGTGAAAATTTTTGACACAGGGTAATATCCTCCACTGACACTCTTAGATATGAGGATTTAAATGGCTTCTGAGATTTAATCTCAGGAAGATAGAAAACAAAACCCAGAATAATGGTTTCATCAAGACTTACAGTAAGGCATAAATTCCTCAGAACACCATCTCTTTTCCAGTAACCAACAGAAGCCAGAGTTTAAAGCCCTCTCAGAGTGGGGTTAGCATTAGTAAGTTACCCAACAGGCAGAACAATCACCACGTGGACTTCAACAGAAATTTAAGTGCACAAGCAGTACTACTATCCACCAAGCTAAAACAGCATCATTCCTTTCATCTCTAAAACACTACACAAACAGCAGCAAATTAAATACTGATTAAGTATGATCAACTAGATAGGCAAGCGCCCTCTTAAAGAGTAGACATTAACATCTTGAAAAGTCAGTAACGGGCTGGCAATGTGGTGCAACGTGTTAAGCTACTGAGAATGCAGGTTTGAGCCCTTGCCACTCAGCATCTAGGCCATCGCCACCCAGGCGGGAGACGTGCAAGGGGCTGCTGCTCCTGGCTTCGGCCTGGCCAAGCCCCAGCTGCAGCCGTCTGAGGAGCGGACTAGCCGATACAACGATCTGCTGTCTGTGACTCTGCCTTCCAAGTAATTAGAACCAGTCAGAAAGGGAGAAGTATATTTAGCAGAAGATGATCACATGAAAGGATTACTCCCTCCTGTGGATACTTCCAAGCACTCTTCCATTGAACACTCCACTGAGCTCGGGGGCCGGGGCCACGGAACCCCATACAGGTGTCAGTTCATGCCCTGGCTCCTTCCCTTCCAATCCAGCTCCCCGTTTGACTGGGAAACTGGAGAGGACAGCTCAAGTTCTTGGGCTCCTGCACCAACTGGCCATTGCAGGAGTGAGCCAGTGGACAGGTAATCTCTCTCTGCTTCTCTCTGTAACTCTGCCTTTCCAATCAATAACAATAAGCAAATTAAAAAAAAATCCAATGAGCTCTATATTTCTCTATGGAGAAGGAAAGAAGGGAGAATGAAAGACTATGAAACACAGCAAAGTGATTCAATTCCATATACTGCAGTCATATCAAACACATACAGAAGTATGTGAGCTACTGGTTAAATATTTTTTCAAAAGTTGTAAGTTCAATGTTGACACTGAAACTGGTATTCAAAGCCTGTGTGCCAGCCTGCTCCCTGCTGATGCTTCTGGGAAAGCAGCTGAATTTGGCCTAAGTACTTGGGCCCCTGTCACCCACAGGGCTTACACCTGGCCTAGACCCTGTCGTTGCAGGCACTGAGGGAGGGAGCCAGGGGATGCAACAGCACCCCCTTTCTTTGCCTGTGCCATTCTGCTTTTCAAATGAGTAAATAAATTACTAGTAATTAATCTCTAAATAAAAGAAGACTTCAGGGGGAAGGGAGATACCAGGTCCTACTGAACTATATCATAAAATAAGAAAATAAATTTTTAAAAATAAATAAACCTTCAAAAACAAAGGGGAAAAAAAGGATGACTTCTGGAACCTGCCTGTGGCACAGCAGGTTAAACTGTGCCTGCCACACCAACACCCTAGGCGGCTCTGGATGAAGCCCCCACTGCTCCACTACTGATCCAGCCCTTCAGATGTGCTCGGAAAGCAGTGGAGCAAGAGGCCGGTGGGAGACCCACATGGAGTCCCAGGCTCCTGTCGTACATGGCCATGGGAGCAGTGAGGCAGCAAACAGAAGATCCCTCTCTTTAACCACGCCTTTAAATAAGTAAATCTTTAAAAAAGCAAAACTACTCCCAGTTGGCTTTATATTCCTCAAGAACAACCAAAAACACAAAACATATCTATCCACATTCTAAAGTGAAAATAAAGTACCAATTGGGTGATGGTTTTTCTCTAACAGTCTTCTTACCCAGCCTACCACAGGGTCAAGTACTATTTGACAATGACTAAAGCATCACGTATACTTGGCTGCATGGATTTTACAGTTTACAAAGAGCATAGTATTACTATTATCGTTACTCATTATTATTATGGACAGAAAGAGCCTTAAATTTTATTAAATACTTACCCTCACTCACAGATGTATAAACACTCTGTGATGCCGGAGCCCCCTGCCTGCAGAGGATCTGCCCGAATGGGGGTGTGCGCAGGGCTGAGGGCGCACCCCTGAGGGACACAGACACAGCCGCCCGCTAGCCCTTTCCGCACAAATACTACGAGAAGGCAGTATCTCAGTTCAGCAATGGGTGTAGAAGCCTCCTACGTTACACAACAGACCAGCCATAAAGAAATGGAGGCGTTTCAAGCGAGTGCTTAGGCAAACTCTGAAATACTCACTTGTAGCAGAACCAAGAAGATTTTTTGAAGATTCATCCTCCACGGTATTATAATCCAGTGGATAATCTTTAAAGAAAAAACAGAAGCAGTTATACCGAGAACTAGTCCTAATATCATGCTGAAAAGCTCAAATTATGTCCTGTCCAAGTCATCTGACTTTAAAACGTTCTGTAATAAGCATTAATTATATAAGTAAAACTTGTTCACAAAAGAAAACGAAATCAGAAGTGATTTAAGAAACAGATGTAAACCAAGCAAAATAATTACCAATGCTTATCAAAATTTCAACAACAGTACTAAGGCTTTTTAGTCAAGCTTTTTGAAAATACTTTGCCAAACCCTAGCCAAGGTCTTCCTACCACTCAGCAGAAAGCTGGCTCCATGTAAGGCGTCGCAAACAGTTCCTGCCGAAGCACAGCGGCAGTTCTGGCGACACCCTCCTCTCCCCAGCCAGGTTCCGGGGGCTTCTTAGGCCTTAACGAGCTTACTCTTAGACTGAGGGCAAACCAAAGCAATGAATGCCCATTTCTACTATGCCAATTCCCATAGGAGTTTAAAAATTCATTATAATCTTAAATTACAATATCATTGTTATAAAAGGGAGTTGCAGTTAAAAATAACTGGTCAATAAACTTGGGACACAATAAAATTCATGAAGCAATGATATTATAAAGTAAGTTTAAGAAAAAAATGGCATTAGGCTGAAAAATTACAAAACAAAGACTAAAAAGCTGTTACTAGTAAAATTTTAAAAACAAAGAAATATCTCCGGGTTAGAGCTGTGGAAGAGTGGCTAACGCTGCTGGCTGCTCATCTGGGTGCTGATTCATGTCCTGTGGCGCCACTTCTGATCAAGCTCCCTGTTAACAGCCTGGGAGATGTAGAACAAGGTGGCCCAAGAATAATTTCATAAGTCATAAATTAACTTTAACCAATTACTATTATTTCATACATGAGAGATTATAAAACCACAGAAATAGGAGCCATATAATGTCTGAGATGTTATAAATATGTACACATCTGTACATCCATTTCTATACTGATACACGTGGCTGCACGTATGTATATGTCATGGGTATATGTTTATAAAAACATTAGCATGTTGTAAATGTTCCTTATTGTTTTACACAATCTGTTTCAGGGAACACAGGAAGTCTGCTGAAGGAGCCCTGACTTGCGGCTTCAGCCTGGCCCCTCACACTCTGTCACAGCAGAGGAAAGGTCTCTCTGCCTCTCCTTCCCTCTCTCTCTCTCCAATTTTAAACTCTCTTAAAAAATATATTCCTAGGGCCTGCACTATGGCGAGTGGGCAATGCTGCTGCCTGTGGTACTGGCATCCCATCTGGACATTAACTCAAGTCCCAACTGCGGCACTAATGAGCCAGGCCCTGCTCACGTGCCTGGGGAGGCAGTGGACAACATTTCAAGTGCTTGCATTCCTGCACCCACATGGGAGACCCAGATGAAACTCATGGCTCCAGGCTTTGGACCACTCCAGCTCTGGCCACTGTGGCCATCTGGGGAAGGAATCAGCACACAGAAGAGCTCTCCCTCTTTCTCTCCATACCTCTGTCTTTCAAACAGATTAAGAAATTTTAAAAAATAAATCGCTAGTAGTCACCTGCTTAAAGCCAGCACTTACCATAATCTTCATCAAATAGTTCTTGGCGTTCTGACTGGTACTGCGAATCAGCGATCTCTTCATATTCCTCCACCATGCTCGTGCCAAATACCCTGTTAACAAGAATTCCACCAAAGACTCAACAGAGCCCAGTCAACAGCAAATAGCAACTTTAATCTTGTTTCAACGGGAACCAGTGTTTGGACTCCTTCCATGCCAGTGAGCATGCAGAAGTAGGAGCGGACCTTTGGCTTCCTGGCTAAGAAGCTGTTTCTTACGCATGCACGCCATTTGCTGGTGCCCGGCTTCAGTCCCAGCCTCCTGTTAACGCATTCCTGGGCGATGGCAGGTGATGGCCCAAGGAGGCAATTCACACCGAGTTCCCAGCTCCTGGCAGCTGCCAGGCTCTGGGCATTTGAGCCTGAACCAGCAATGACGTATCTCTGTCTCTCTATGGCCTTTTGCCTTTAAAACATTTTTAATTGAAGGCATTTAGAAATTTATCAGACAAAAACTTAACACCTATTATCATGAAAGCAAGAAGCAGGCAAGCTAAACCAAACACATTAGTGAAGGTCATTTTCTGATTTGTTTTCAGAACTGCATCCAAGAGAAATATTCAACAACTTATAGTTTTACAGTGTTAACATTACACAAGAGAAAATTATTTCTTCGTTTTAAATATGTGAGTTTTGCATATGATCTTTTTTAAAAAGCACTCAATGAAAGTGTTTTGTTCTGTATTACCTTATAAGGCTTAATGGGCAAAAGTGCTCTGATCCAAAATGTGAAACCAAGTCCACCTAAAGAATAAAAAGCATGTGAGACATGATGCCATTCAAGCATAGGTGAGAATATCCAAGAACACAGCCGTTTTAACTACATCATTTCCAAAAATAGCTCATTTCCCAAAATCCAATACCTGTCAAGTTTTGCTTTGCTATTTAATATTGCAAAAGAGAAGGGTGCTAACCTTTATGTACTTGATGAACATCTGAGGCAAGAGAAAGGAAAAGAAAGAGCAATCAGTGCCAGAGTCGGACGCCGTCACACCGCGTGCTTACAGAACAGGAGCTACGCACCGTGCTGGGTAACACTGTAGTACTCCACAGCTTTCTTCAGGAGTCAAAGGAATGAAAATCTACCGTCCTAACTTGAAAGGATCATCTCAGAAATCATGAACTAACTTTCAGGCTACAAAGTGAAGTGAGCTAACATCAGTTATTTTATATATGAGAGATTCACAGAAACAAGAGGCGGCGTATACAGTCTGAGATGTAAACATGTACACACCCGTTCGTGAATACTGATACACACAGACATGTACAGACTCATACATTAATATGATCATTTCTTATTGCTTTATATAATGTGCTTCCAGGAAAACATGAAATTTTGACATTCTGTGTAACTTCAAACACAACAGAAGTGGAGGATATATATCAACCCTCTAAAATGTAAGCTACTAAAAATTAATGTGGACATTTGCACTTAGTTCTTTTAGGATAAGGAAAACACAGGGAAACTTACAAAGTATTTATGAACATCAAAGCAAAAACTTTTAGACTTATTCTATAAAAGTTTCATTTTTGCAAAAAAGGTGAAATTAATAATCAAAATGCTCTGTATCTTTCACTATTTAAAAATGGCTATTTTTTTTAATGTCACCAGTAAAACGCTCTCTCATTATTAACAGTAGACAGCATAATGAATGATGCTCAGAACCATTTCATAACTTGTGAACTGTCTTTCTTACAAATACAATGGTTTCACCTGGCAAACAATTTTTGTCATCTTCTTCCAGGAAAAAGAGTATCAGCTACATACAGACATTAAATATTTGTTTCAGTAGTCATTTTAGAAAGAAATGAAGATACTCTCATTTTTCTGAACTTCTGAATTATTAACTGAAAAGACAAACTATTTTAAACTAAAATTTAGTATTTTTATACTGAGCCTAGGAATACTACAAGTTTACCCATTTAAAAGTTAATCATACATGCTTTAAGAGATAGCAAAATTCCAGAAGACAAAAGTAAGTAGATTTAAGTTCTCATGTTTAAAGAAAAGTCAGAAACTACAATTGCTACCATCCCAAAAGATCCTACTGCGAATAAGCAAGGGCCCCTAAGAGGGTGAGGGGAGGAGCAGGCACTTTCTCCAGCAGGAAATCCAGTTAGCTGGTGGAGGAGAAGCAGTACTGAAGCGTTTAAAAGCTCACAGTATTTCAAAATGCCATTTGAATGGCACTGAATTCACCTGAATATATAACAGACAAAAGCCAAAATAAGTATCTAATAACTGGGTACTAAAATTGAAGTGACCTAAGAATCAGATTCCAATAATTTAAGAACCTGTTTTTTTTTATCAAACTAGCAGCAATTTGGTCTCAAATTAGAAACATAATGTTATAAAGGTGACAGTTTACATGAAATCTCAAAACGAATGTGAGAGCTATAATTTGAAATTGCATCAGGACCATAAATAAACTGGTGTACGCTTCCAATAACACAAAAGAGAATACGTTAAAAATCTGTTTCAAGTAAGAACTACTTGGTTAACATATGGCATAATAAATGTCCTCTCCACGCTTCGGAATGCTCAGCAGGTTTACTGGCCGAAGTGCGGCACACACAGTCCTACATGTATGAACATTACCTTCACATATTTCGCATACATCTGCTCATCTAAAGGGAAGCTCTGCACATTCCGCTCATCTCTACCGTGGAAAGTTCCCAGCTTGACCCACTTATTTGTGGGATATCTGGAAAATAGGAAAATAACTATCTTTTACAAAATTACAGATCAACTACTGAAAGGTTACATTTTCAACATATATATACATATTTTTTTTTTCTCTCTGAGGTCCATAGTCACAGCTCCTTTAATTAAATAACACATTTTATCTTCCAACTAAAATGACAGGTTCTTCTGAGAACCAGCATACGATAAGAATGGACTGGAGTGACCACTGGCAGCCTGAGAGTCCCAGCCCCATTCCAGCTCCCAATTCTAGCTTTCTGCTCATGTAGATGCTGGCTTACGACAGCGATGCCTCAGCTCACAGGCTCCCTGCCACCCACATGGAAAACCTCAACTGAGTTCCTGGATGTAACTCAGGCCCTGGCCAAACCCAGCCATTTCAGGCAATTTGGCAGTCAGTGGAGAAAGCCGTTTTTACTTGGGGTTACCACCAATACCCAAAAAGCTATTTAGAGAATGAATGAAGCAGCTCACTAATACTACGATATTTAAGGGCTGGCACTGCCCTTCAAACCAGAATGCCTGCTGCAAGTCCTGACAACTATGCTTCTCTCCAGCTTCCTGCTGGAGCACATGGGGAGGGTAGCAGGGGAGGCCTGACTGCAGTCCCACCCACCCACCAGGGGGCTCGCAGGGTGTGGGAAGCCAACCAACAGCTAGGGAATGAACCAGTAGATAAATAACACCTCCTATCTTTCAAATAAACTGAAAATAAACAAATGGTTTAAAATGGTCTATGTGAAAGACAAGAGGATAATCTCAAGATGTAGGAAGCAAAATGTAAATATAATTGCTGTAGAACTAACAGATACATAAAAAAAACCACAACAAAATGCATGCAAATGCCGACAGTGGCCATGGACATTCACAATGCTGCATGCCAGGAAGGCAGTTCTTCCCCCAAATGCCTTACTTATTACTTCTGTAACCCTAAATATCTCCCCAAAATCTTTACAGTAGACTTTAACAAAATAATACCTTAGTATACAAAATGAATCATCTGTACATTTTACACTTCTAATAACTTTCAAAGAAAATGTGGAAGCAATGGAGTATAATGATTACAAGTCAGGACTTCGGCATTTCGTCTCTGCAATGTATGAGTCATGTGACCCAAGCAGCCCGCGTACCAGCCCCTGCTCCTGCACCTGCTCCGCGCCTGCTCTGAGCTAATGAAGGAACGTGATTAACAAGAGCCTACAATAGACTACTGCTATTACAAGCAAATAGGAAAACAAAATGCCTGACACCCAGCGACAAGCTCTGGAGTGTGCAGAGCAGAGATCCACCACAGGATCAATCTTACCTGTCACTGATGGAAACCAGGAAGTCTTTAGGAGTAGATGAAAACAGCTCATAGTTTGCAATATCAAGCTGTTTCACTTGAATGGGTTCACAGAGTTCAATAACAAACCTTCAAAAAGAACAGATAATTTTACAAGACTAATTAAAAGTCTGTATTAAATACGACAAAATAGCATACATAAACTGGACTTGTATGAAAGAGATTAAAATACAGAGAAGAAAGGGAAAGTATGACCTGAGTTATTCACAAAGGAACACCCAAACTATTCGCCAAGGAGCTGTGCACAGAGCACGGTGTCTGAGGAAACAATACTCATGATACTGCTTTAATCAGCTATTTTATCAAATGATAATTACACATCAAATAAACCAAACATTAAAATTTAAGTTTAACCTTGGCAACAGCACAAAGTTGTAGATGAATAGGCAACTGCCCTGTAGAGGAAAGCTCTCCAAGAGGGGCCCTCTCTCCCTCCTCTAGCTGACCGCTTGTCTGCAACGACACTGGAGAGGTACTACCCACTGTGCACACCACTCGGCCAACACTGTGGCCTACTCCACATTTTTCCCGGACACCCTTTACCATCCAAGCTCTTAAGGGGCATCTGAGTAGAAGGCCACCACGCTGAGCCACATGTCCTAGGCGTGGCTGTGTTTCTGAGTTCTGGGTGAAGCATGTGACCAAGAGCAATCAAGTATGACTTCTAGGTCAAGTCTTTGAAAAGAAGCTGTGAGCTCTCCACTCGTTTTTCCCACTTATAGGCCAGAGTGAGGATGTGCTAAGGGCCCATCATCACTACCCTACAGGTAGACACAAAGCCAGAGAATGGCACAGGACCACAAGGAGAGGGACAGACATGCGCCCTGCAGGCAAATATTTTCAAAGCATACAGTCAATTCACTGGGAAAATACAATTTAAAATATTTGTATGCCTGATAAATTGTCTCATAAAATATTAATATATACCATGCCTCATTATAATCAATTTTAAAATATTTTCAATTCTTTTTGTCTCATGTGTTCTTAGAAGCAGAAAATATTAATAAACTAACAAACGCTGCATGAAAGCGAGTGAAACTTAACAGATGCAACTTCACTGCACTGTCTAATTACAGCACAGGAATTACAAAAGGCCAGGAAAGTGCAGCTCAGTTCTGAACACATGAGCAACTTAGAAGGCAACTGGCAACTTCCAAGGTGTCTATCGGAAAATTTAAAAAACAAAGTTAACAGACTAATTCTCAAAAATATACGGAACTAAACAGAAAAGATTTCTATGAACAATAAAATAAAATCTAATAGATGCTATCAATAAAAACCAAAACAGAAAAATTTCTGGAGAGGTTAAATGAAGACACATAAGTAAAAATAGTCATTTTTTTATTTTGAAGATCTTTATGGCAAAAAGGTTTTTAAATGAGACAACACGATAAACAACACAAGAAATCTAAATAGTGCTAAAATGATTCCAGTGCTTTAAATCTGCTAATCTAAGGAGCTGTTGCTTAGCCTCCTGGTTAAGATCACTGAGTCTCGGGGCCGGCACGATTGCTCAAGGGGCTAATCCTCCACCTGCAGTGCCGGCATCCCATAGGGGTGCTGGCTGGTGTCCTGGTTGCTCCACTTTGGAAAGCAGTGGAGGATGGATGACCCAGCGCTTCCAGATCCTGTCGCTGTGGGGAGACCCATTGGAGGCTCGAGGCTGTTTGGGTAGTGAATCAGCAGAGAGAAATCCTTCTCTCTCTGCCTCTCCCTCTGTCTAAAATCTGTTTCCAACGATGCCCCTCTCCCATCAGGGTGCCCAGGTTGACCTTTGGCTCCCAATTCCAACTTGCCATGCACACAGACCCCAGCAGGCAACAGTGCCACTACAATAACTAGGTCTATCCACACACACCTGGATGGGGTTCCTAGTTCCTGGCTGTGGCCCAAACACTTTGCACAAAAGCTTTGAAGACCCCCTCATAAGCTATTTTTTGATTCATTCCTTTTAGTAAATCAACAAAAATGATTTTTGTGCCTAAAGGACCTTGCTCGGGTCCCTCACACTTCCTTTAGCATCGTCCCTTTCTCCTCAGGGGGACTGAGCACTGTGCCACGCTCATCTGCTACTTCCTCTCAGTTCAGACTCGGCGCCCAAATTTCCACTTGCAGGAACCCTTGTGTCACCTCTCTTCCCACAGCACATCATCTCCTAACTTCCCAACCCGCCCTGTCACCGTTCCCTTTCTGGGACACCCTTCAAAAGAATGCAGTCATCCCCAACTTTGCACAGCACCAGCCCGATCACACTTTCCAACTTTTGGATGAATAAATCAATAGAACTCTGACAAACACGCCTAGCATGGAACGCACATCTCGCCAATACTGTACAAAAGTCACAGTACTTACCAAATTTTAGTGCTGCAAGGATTCAACATATAAAGGTCCATATTCTCTATAAGAATAGCAGATGTGCTCTATTTACAACAAAAAAAGGGAATATGTTACTTTAGGAAAAATAAAAGTATTTGCTGCAATTCAAACTTTGTTAGGATATTCTGTAATATTGCATCTTAAAGTTCACCCAGGGATTTGAAACGCTCATTTTGGAAGAATGCATAAAACTGGCAAAGTCAACTAGTTAAGCTGTATACAGCAGCAAACTACTCTGTTAACAGAACACATTAAAAATTCAACGTCTGCTACTGTGAAGGAAAAATAGTCCCTACTGCTTATTTCCTGTTCAGATTTCATGTGAGTTTCAAAAGTTAGAAACAGGGAACAAAGGACCAAATGAGAGAAGTACGAACTCATACAAGCGAAGGTCTGGAAGCACAACCTTACATTACTGAACCAGCACACATTCACATTAGCACAGCTCCGAGCAAACCAATGTCTATCTCAATGCAGACATCACTTTCTATATTCACATAGAACTGCATTCTGAAGTACCTTGGCTTCGGGATTGGCCGCCAAAATCTTGGCACCACACTCCACCGAGGCGTAATTATTCCGGTTTTTCTGGACTTTTTTCACGGCCGGGGGCCCTCCATTAGGAGATGGATGCATTGACTGGCCTGCAGACAAACCTTATTATAAACACACATATGACAACTATGCCTGAAAATGTTCCCAGCAACACAACAATCTCAAAAAGAACAAGCTGCCTTCCAGAAGACAAGTTTTAATACTTAAGGGAGTCTTCACAATAGCTTTAAGACATCTTCCAATAAAGTGAACCACCATGAAAATTCACAACACTTGATTCATGCCTTAGTAATATATTTCAGAAAATGAAGCTTACTCATGAGAACCAAGGTTTATGGTTTATATAATTTATATTAAGGATAAATATTATTTTCCTGTCTGTAAACCCAACATTAAGAATTCTTAACTCAGAGACTTACTCTACAAATAAAAAACACAAATGTAATGATTCTCCAACTGTATTTATACTTTAAAGCTTTATTACTTGGAATTTTCCACACCTCTATTTTCCTCTTCGTGAGACTGAAATCGCTACTATGTTTTATCTTATTATATCCTCACTTGAAAAGATTATGAGTAAACTTTAATTAAGGTCAAAGTTACAGTGTATGGGGTAAATGACATAGATGAGATAACCAAGAGCAAGCTGCAGGGACGCACATGTGGCTTCACGGGCTAGACCAGCCCTTGCCACGCCAGCATCGACGCGGCTGCCGGCCAGGGTACCAGCCCAGCAGCCTGTGAATGGCTGGGAAAGGCACCAGCAGATGGCCCCAGGCACTCGGAGCCCGGTTTGGCAGAGGGAAGCCACACCCATGGGGGTGAACCAGCAGATCGAAGGGTCTCCGCCTTCCTCACTTCCTTCTAGCTCTTCAATAAATACACGAAAAGAGCAAACTGACAAGTTTCACCACTTAAAAGTTTTCAAAAGTAAATTTTTAGATATATTCTTTTACCAATTAGAACAAGAAAATCATGTTTAAACCACCCTCACTTAAATGGACAAAGTTTCAGAGAAGAACCTCATTATTTTCTTACTTTTCTCTTTCTCTACTTCCATGACTTTCTTTTTCCATTCGTCAAACGTTGGGATGTCTTCCGGGTCCTTAGGGTTTCCCACAGATGTAGGGTCCATTTCTCCGGATTTTGTATAATCAGAACTCTGAACAAACACAAAGAAGAAACAGACTTCAACTGTCAAAGATTACAGATTGGCCAATTGTAAAAGTAAATACATAAGTGTCTCTATCAAAAGAATTTAACGTCTAATTGTAGGATGAGTCATATTTTGAAAAAACAAAAAAGGTAAAGAGATAAAACTGTGAGTTCACCTTCAAAGAATGGCAACCTTTAATTACACCACGATTATTTCCCATGCTAATGTTCCGAGCATGGTTTATATGTTAAAACGAAACCTGCGAGTGATGTCTTCCAAGGAGGAAAGATCATGCAGGGACTGCTCACGTGAACAAGCAGCAGACTCAGGGCCACCTCCTCCCCAATTTAGGTGAACTGCATTAAACCAAGCTAATTTTTAGCTGAGGTAAAACAAATCTTATTTCCACAAATCCTTAACAAGAAGTATCACACACATGAACCTTCATGGATCTTTTCAAAACTAACTGTAGAAAAGAACTTTGGAAGAAAATAAGGAAAAAGTTTTTATTCAGGCTAATACAAGAATTCAACAGGATTCAAAAAACCATAACTCGCTAGAAGTAATACTGGTGCACCTGCTGACACTGTAATTCCCAAGCGAGAACTACATGGAGAGTAAGCAGAGTGGGGCCTTGGTGCCGTCCGTCAGCCGGGCTCGGCCCGTGCCTAGCAAAGGCCCAGTGCCGATTTACAGAATGCCCACCAATCAGCCAAGCACAGGAAGACGGAGGGGAAAACACCAAATTCAGCAAAAAGCAAATACAATCTCTGTAATAATGAAATACAAATAAAGTCAGAGATATCACACAAATTGTACCAATCTAACGGAAGTTAAACTGCGGCCGGCAGTGCCAATCGTGTTAAGTCTGATAAACTATGGGAAATCAGACTGTTGAAAGAATATCTAAAATCAAGCAACAGTAAGATGTATTCTATTCCTATATGAAAATATCGGTGGAACACACATGACCTAACAAAACATGTAAAAGCATGCTCACTGCAGCATTATTTTTAATATAAAAAAAAATCAGAAACCTATGGGCCGGGTGCAGTAGCCTAGCGGATAAAGTCCTCACCTGGAGCGCGCTGGGATCCCATAAGGGCACCAGTTCTAATCCCAGTAGCTCCACTTCCCATCCAGCTTCCTGCTTGTGGTCTGGCAAAGCAGTCGAGGACAGCCCAAAGCCTTGGGACCCTGCACCCGTGTGGGAGACCCAGAAGAGTATCCTGGGTCCTGGCTTCAAATCAGCTCAGCTCTGGCTGTTGCGCCCGCATGGGGAGTGAAAGAGCGGACGGAAGATATTCCTCTCTGTCTCTCCTCCTCTGTATATCTGACTTTTTGATAAAAATAAATCATTAAAAAAAAAGTATTTCTTAGAAAGCCTTAGAGCACCTATCTGTTGTTTTCCTCCCCAAATGCCTGGGACAGGAAACCAGAGCCAGAGCCCGACGTGGCCGACTCCCACACAGCCCAGACGCCAGGCAGTGGAGCCGGCAGCAGGGACCTGGACAGAACTGGAACGGCCACTCAGATACAGGACACAGGCATTCTCCTCTCTATGGATCTGACTTCCCAGTAAAAATAAAATAAATCTTTAAAAAAAAAATCAGAAACCTAACTATAAGAAGGATGGATAATTTATGATATAGTCACTATAACAAACGAAAATATATAATCTATTATATATCACTATAATCAATGAAAATAATTAATGGTCAAATCTCAAAAACAATGTTGAGAAAATGCTATGAAAAGCAACAATGGGGCCCAGCACAACAGCCTAGCAGCTAAAGTCTTCGCCTTGAACACACCGGGATCCCATATGGGCACCGGTTCTAATCCCAGCAGCCCCACTTCCCATCCAGCTCCCTGCTTATGGCCTGGGAAAGCAGTCGAGGACGGCTCAAAGCCTTTGGACCCTGCACCCGCGTGGGAGACCTCGAAGAGGCTCCTGGCTCCTGGTTCCAGATTGGCTCAGCTGCAGCTTTGCAGCTGCCTGGGGAGTGAACCATCAGATGGAAGATCTTCCTCTCTGTCTCTGTACATCTGCTTTTCCAATAAAAATAAATAAATCTTAAAAAAAAAAAAAAGAAGAAAAGCAACAATGTGTGTTTATAGCTACCTGAGAAACTCGGAAACAACATTTTAGAAAATGGCTTGGGATCCTGACTAGGTGTGGGAAGTGTACCTGGGAAAGGCAGACGCTGGCTCTCCCTTCTGCTGAATAATGTATACGCCACATACACGCCACATACTTCACTACTGTGACAATGTCAAGACAATCACCTCTGAAAAATAAAACTAAAGCCTTATTTAGTAACACTTTGTATATTAACGCATATTTTTGAGTATAAATATAAAGTATGTAAAAACTCTGTAACCATTATGTCTTCTAAAAAATGTTTTGACAGAGACAAGGAGGGCGAGAGAGCAAACCCCGCATCCATCAAACGCCGCTCACTTCGGGCTAAGGAGCCACGGTCGGGAGAGAAGAACTTCCTGCTGACACTCAGCGCTCCCCACATGCCCACACAGCCAGGCCGGGGCCAGGCCAAAGCACCAGCCAGGGCCAACGCCCAGTCCACCCACACGTGTGCCAGAACATCACCTGGCGTCTGCAGACTCATTATCTAAAGCTCGGGTGGGAGGCAGAGGTGGGGCTCAGACGCTGTGCCATGGGATGCAGGCATCGCAAGAGGCAGCTTACCCTACATCCACAGTGCCTGGCCCATTGCAGGTCCTCCACGTAGTTTTTAGCAATCCTAATTTAGCTAAGGTATAACTAAAACTCTATTCTTTTGCCTATTTGCAGAGACTCGACCACAGTTCAAGACTCTTGGAAAATAAAAACTCAGTTTCAGTCAAACAGTTAGAGCACAAGCCAACCTAGGACAAAGCGATGTTTGAATTTAACACTTCACAGAGCCAAGAGAGACTTATTTTAATGGTTTTATCTGCTGCTGTGATATCTGACAATTATGTTTGCTTTTATTCCTCTGGGAAACAAAGGCAAGTTCCCTAAGAATGTCGTCCATTACACGCTGAGCTCCTACATTTATAAAAACTATCACAGAACCAGTCGCTTCACTGAACTGAATCTTGAGACCGAAGTCTGACTTGCTGTTAAGCAGATTCACTGAGCAGCTGTGAGAGAACAGAAGACTCCAAACCAGAAAGCAACCAAGGTGGACGCGGCACTTGGAAACACTGCTCTTTGATCCCACGTGTTTCCTGTCCCACGGCTTTCATCTATTTCTTACGTGAAAGAGGTCTACGGACTGTGCTAACATCTTAGGACACTGTCTATTAGCCTCCACGCAAAATCAAACAGTACTCAGAAACAAAATAAACTGCTGCACAGCAACAAATCCTCTATCTGAAGAATAAATTCAGAAATTTGTCTAGTTTTTGTTTGCACACAAATCATGAGAAGCAAAATGGCCTTTAATTATTGTCAAAGAATCTAAAGTTAACTTTGGGGTTAAAGATACTTAAGCTTAATAACCATAAATTCTCCTATATAACTAAAACACCGCTTGGGATTGTGACGCAGTGGCCTGGGACACTGGCATCCACTGTGGGCAGTTGGATCCAGGCCCAGCTGCTCCATTTCTGATCTGGCTCCCTGAAATCGCCCCTGAGAAGGGATTGGAAGATTACCAGGTACGCAGGCCTCTGCCACCCACACAAGACCCCAGTAAGACTTCTAGGCCTCTCGTTTCACCCTGGCCCAGCCCTAGCCACTCTAGCCAATTGAGTCATGAACCAGCTGTGTCTCCTCTCTCTCTCTGGGTAACTCTACTTTCAAATAAACAAAATGAACTTAAAATAAAACAAGGGGCCTAGCATGGTAGCCTAGTGGCTAAAGTCCTCGCCTTGCATGCACTGGGATCCCATATGAGTGCTGGTTCATATCCCAAATGCTTCAATTTCCATCCAGCTCCCTGCTTGTGGATTGGGAAAGCAGTCAAGGACGGCCAAAGCCATGGGAGACCTGGAAGAGGTTCCTGGCTCCTGGCTTCAGATCAGCTTAGCTCCAACCACTGCAGCCATAATATCTTTGTATCTCCTTCTCTCTGAAAAATCTGCCTTCCAATAAAAGAAAATAAATCTTCAAAACAATAAAACAAATAAATAAAAACAAGCTGCTTAAGTGGCTGACAATGGTGCGCAACAGGTAAAGTGACCGACTGCAATGCCAACATCCTTTCTGAGCATACCAGTTCAAGTTCTTGCTGCTCCACTTTCCACTCAGCCCCAGCTAATGCATCTGGAAAAGCAGGGCAAGCTGGCCAACTGTGGCCCCTTGCTACCCATATGTGAAGGGGCTGAGCGCATCAGTGAACAGGGAGACACACAGGCAAGAAGGCCAAGCGGCATACCCACTGTCCCGGTGCGCTCTCTCCACTGTGCCTCGCTCTGCTTAAAAGTAACAGAAGGGGCCCGGCGCAGTGGCGCAGTGGTTAAGGTCCTCGCCTTGCACGCCCGGGATCCCATATGGGCGCCGGTTCTAATCCCGGCAGCCCCGCTTCCCTTCCAGCTCCCTGCCTGTGGCCTGGGAAAGCAGTCGAGGACGGCCCAAAGCTTTGGGAACCTGCACCCGCGTGGGAGACCCGGAAGAGGCTCCTGGCTTTGGATCGGCATAGCATCGGGCGTTGTGCTCACTTGGGGAGTGAATCATTGGATGGAAGATCTTCCTCTCTGTCTCTCCTCTCTGTATATCCGCCTTTCCAATTTAAAAAAAAAAAAACACAGAAGGTAGCATCCCTGGCATCAATACTACCTTCTCTTCCCCTCTCCCTGCGTTGTAAGTAACGGACCAAAGCGTACTGAGACTCTGGGGTAATGTCTTCTCCTTTACTTTTTTTAGTTTTGCTAACATAACAAAACTATTCTAAGAAGTACTGACTTCACATAAGATAAGGGTTAATGAAAGTTTTGTGTGACATTTGGATTCTTTGGGGTATAAAAATCTGTGTATTCTCAAAGTGCATCCTAAAAGTGTGAATGATGGCTGCAGTGGACGTGTGCGACATTTAAATGGAGTTCCAGGCTCCTGGGTTGGTCTAACTGGGTTCCAGTTGTCGCAGCCATTTGGGAAGTGAACCAGTAGATGGTTGTCCAACTCAGATTTCAAAATAAAATAGATAAATAAAAAAAATCTTAAAAGAAAAAAAAAAGACCAAGAATGAGAGACAGAAATAAAGGATGAAACTGCTTCAGTAAGGACTTCACATAAGTGCGTTCAAATAGTTGCCAATAACAGAAACTCCCTACCTATACATAACACACAGCATCCTGTGAGATTCCAGAAGGAGCACAGGAAGCCAGCATGGCCTAAGTCTGTTATACACATCATCAACTACACACATGTCGTCAACTACACACGTCGTCAACTACACACGACAGCAACTACACACATCAACTACACACGTCGTCAACTACACAAACGTCAACTACACACACGTCGTCAACTACACAAACGTCAACTACACACACGTCGTCAACTACACAAACGTCAACTACACACACGTCGTCAACTACACACATCAACTACACACACGTGAACCACACACACGTCAACTACACATGTCATCAACTACACACACGTCAACTACACTCACGTCATTTCTATGTTAAACACCTCATTGTCTGATGTTATGACAGATAGATGTATGTCTTGCAATTAATTACAAAAGAAAAGACAGTGCAAGATTATGTGCTCACCTCATTTTTTAAATTCTCTGAAGCATTCAAGGCAGATTTGGGAGTGCCATCAGCCTGCTCACTTGCTGAAACCTCCGATTCTAACTTCGATTTTGGTATCTTTCCTTTGCTGTGCGAAGATGAAACATTCTCTGTATGCTGACCTACAAGACTGTCAGAAACCAAAAGACACATTACTCACAGTCTGGCTGGGTAATGATTACACAGTCTCAATTGTTGAAATCATGTGAAGACAGAAATGGAATCAAAGATCAGCTTTCTCACAATCATAAAACAGATTTAAGCAAGCACCAAAGTCCATTCAAACAGCATGTCCTTCTTTTTTTTTAACATTCTCTGCATAGTTGAGAGGGCTGCACACCCATGCAGGTCCCTGATTAGGGTGGGGAGGGTTGAGGTATATGTGCCCATTATTTTTCTCCTATGTCCACAGGGAGAGGAAAGGGGGGGCGCTCCTTCTGTCAGACTGTGTCAGCACCCAGAGATGGGTCCTTTGATGTCTTCTTAGAGACCCTGTTGGGGAAGAGGGCTCCCCAGGGCGTCATTTAAGTGGTCTTGATAGTTCTGAGACATTCTCCGCTTCATTGCACCAGGGTTGAGAAAATCTTGCCAAGCTTTGTTGGCTGACCAAATCCACTTTAGTGCATCCACAGACCGAGGAACATGCTGCAAAGCTTGGCCAAGAGAGTGGTCCAACCCTTTTTGCTGTCTACCCTGCTGACAAGGCACTTGATGTCCTCTGCTGGCCAAGATGAGCTGGCAGTCACGTCCTCCATGTGCGACTGGGCACGCTGACCACTACACAGGCATTACACACTCCCAAGATTTCCCCTTTGGCCGAGGTTTGAGTCCAGCCACCTAGTAGGGAAGTCTTCCAAGAAATCTCACCTGGGGTGACTTCAGACTTGACTCTACACGCCAGCCAGTACAGGCTCTGGTCCGATCGAAGCATCAGCTCACCAAGGGAGTCCCCCAAGCTCTCTTACGAGGCCCAATCCCAGCACCAGGATTTAGCATGCCAGCAGGTGTTGCGACCCAGTCTCAGCATTTGCCAGCAGGTGTCTCAGCCTGGCTCAGCCTGGCACGGCCGCAGTCCCAGCTCTGGCAGATGGGTATAGCCACCTAGCCCAGGCTGGCCCAACCCCAAACCAAGTGAACTAGTGGATGTTGTAATCCAAATCAGCCAGAGCTGCACTCCATTCTGGCTCTTGGTCATGTCAGTGTGTGCTGTGGACTGGCCCAGCTCGGCTCACACCCAGATTTGGCTCACACATATGGTGATGGGTGCTATAGCACTGCCTGGTCTGGAACCCCAGATCTAGATGGGTGTTGGCCAACACTATCAATGAGGACAGCAACAAGGACATGCAGAAGCATGGTTTCCAGATGGAAACACTGCAGTTCAACGCACTCGGGTGTCAACAGCATTTTCTGGCTACTTGGAGCGGCACAGACGGATAAGATCCTTCAGTCACTTATCCCTGCAGACTTTCCCTGTTCCTCCTCATTGGTGTCAGGCAGTGGGTTTCATGCAAAGTTGTAAAAGTGCTCACTTCTTTTCTGGAAACTTGGTTAGTAGTTTAGAAATCCAAGGCATTTCTCAAAATGAGTGAACCAAACCAAAGAAGCGGAACTCCCCAGGGTGATGCTGGCATCTGAGGAGCAAACCAGTAGACCCAGTGGTTGAAACAGCCATGCTCTCTGCCTCGCTCTCCGTAACTCCGTCTTTCAAACAAACAAATTAAAAAAAAAAAAAAAGGAGAGGGCCCTGCGCAATGGCCTCATGGCTAAATCCTCGCCTTGCATGCACCAGATCCCAGATGGGCACTGCTCCACTTCCCATCCAGCTCCCTGATTGTACTCTGGGAAAGCAGTTAAGGGCGGTCCAAAGCTTTGGGACCCTGCACCCACATGGGAGACCTGGCAGAAACTCCCGGCTCCTGGCTTCAGAGATTGGCTCAGCTCTAGACACTGAGGCCACTTAGGGAGTGACCCAATGGACAGAAGATCTTTCCCTCTGTCTCTTGTTCTCTCTGTAAAAATCTGCCTTTCTATAAATAAATGTTTAAAAAAAAAGTAGAAAACTGAAGATATATGTTCAAACATACGAATACATATTTGTGTCCATATTCTATGTTGATAGAGAAAATGTATTATTGTAAAAATTAGAAATATTTGAAAAAAAATGGGATCTTAAGGTGAACTTTAAAAGTTACTAAATTAAAGCATGCATTTCAACTATGCAGTTACTGAGGAGAGCGTCATTTTAAACTAGACACACAAGACTACAACACCATGAAATAGTCAAGGGACATCACAACACCTCCCAGAAGACGAGTCCCACCGGCTGCATGCAAGCACAAGGCACCACGCGCGAACTGAGCTTCTCCCGCAACAGTCAGCTTCAGTCCTTCCTCTGGCTGAAAGAACTCTGTTCCTGCGGTCCCTAAGCATTGCTACTAGAAAGAAGAATCCTCCTGGGTTGGCACTGTGGCGTGGAGGGAAAGCTGTTGTCTAGCTCCCAGCTTCCCCTGGAACAGTTCTGGACAGGGTAGTCTTCTGGGCAGTGAAAGCGCACACGGAAGATCTCTCTCTCCATGTCTCCCTCGCTCTACTTCTTCTAAATAAATCCTAAAAATAAATAAGCTTGCAGAAGACTTTTCCATGCAGTCAATCTTCACTATGGTAGAAACTTGCATATTCATATCAAGTACAGAATTTGCTTTGCCTTTTATGTAATACAAAGTTCTTCAAAAATGTTTACATATAAACGAATGTCTGCAATCTAATCCCACACAAAGCAGCGACAAGGACAGAGCGCGGCCACACTCACCTCCCAGGTGTACTGACAAGGACAGGCTGCTCAGCAGGAGCGCTCAGCTCCAAGGCCTCACGAGCTTCACAAGCAGCTTCTGGTGGTTCAGCTTCACTGGACTTGGCTACAGGGATAGTACCAGATTTTTCTATTTCACTAAAAGAAAAAAACAAAAAGACAATCTGGTAATTTAGCAGACTTCAAATAACATAAAAATGCTATTAATAATTTATAAGTACTTCATCTAAATCAAAGAATGCTTCCCAGTTCTGCAGAAAGTTCTCAAGCTCGGCCTAATTTTAAGCCATGTGTTATCAACTCCAACTCAATCTGCTGGCCTCCAGTTTCTAACTAACGACCAAACCTTACAGTACCCCAGTGCCTGGTGCCAAGCCGCAGCACCGCACGCCACCACTGAGTGCTCACTACCCATAGCAGAGTGCTTCCTCCCAGCCCAGCTACTTCACTTGCTATCTGGGAAACAGAACACCAAGCTCAAGCACCCGAGTTCCTGCTGCTCCTGCAGTGATCCACAGGGAGTGTCTGGCTTCAGCCTGACGGGGGACAGGGCACTGGGGCTTCAGCCTGACAGGGAACAGGGCACTGTGGCTTTAGCCTGACGGGGGACAGGGCACTGGGGCTTCAGCCTGACGGGGGACAGGGCACTGGGGCTTCAGCCTGACAGGGAACAGGGCACTGTGGCTTTAGCCTGACGGGGGACAGGGCACTGGGGCTTCAGCCTGACATGGGACAGGGCACTGGGGCTTCAGCCTGACATGGGACAGGGCACTGGGGCTTCAGCCTGACGAGGAACAGGGCACTGGGGCTTCAGCCTGACAGGGGGTAGGGCACTGTAGACAAACTAGGAGAGAAGCAGCAGATGCAAGAGCACTCTGCCGCTTAAACAAAACAAGCAAAAATCTTGAAAAAAAAGTTGATGTTTGCTCTCATCAAAACTCAGTTTCTTAAAATTTACTTATTCCAATAGATCCTTTCTAAAGTCTGATCTGTTAGCATATTAATTCTACTAACATTACAGCTGTGGCACAGCATCAAAAGGCCCTTTTTATTCTCAAGACATTAACAAAAGTTCTAGGTACCTGCAGCTTTCATTTAATGATATATGCCCAAATGCTTTCCAATGTCTCACTTTATTCACTGAGCAACCCAAAAACAGGATGCACTATCCAGCTGTATATATAATACACATGTCATATACATGGACACACACACATATAATCAAATTCTTCCTGAGCAAAGCATTTAAATTTAGGAATTTACAATGTTATCATTATCTCATTCCCTTATTTCCTACTATGACAATTTGGTAAATACTGTTAACATCCATGTGTGCAATTCCTACAATCTAGCCCCTACATTCTGAGAAAAACAGATGAAACAAACAAACAACAACAACAACAAAACAGTGATAGGGCTCAGCACGGTAGCCTAACAGCTCAAGTCCTTGCCTAGAATGCACTGGGATGCCATAGGGGCACCGGTTCTAATCCCAGCAGCCCCACTTCCCATCCAGCTCCCTGCTTGCGGCCTGGGAAAGCAGTCGAGGACAGCGCAAAGCCTTGGGACTCTGTACCCATGTGGGAGACCCAAAAGAAGCTCCTGGCTCCTGGCTTTGGACTAGCGCAGCTCCAGCCATTGTGGTCACCTGGGGAGTAAATCAACGCATGGAAGATCTTCCTCTCTGTCTCTCCTCTTCTCTGTATATATCTGACTTTGCAATAAAATTTAAAAAAAAAAGCAGTGATGATAATGTCAGCTCACACATTCTTACTATGTACCATATATTCTTCTATGTACTTCAACTCCTTTAATAAAAGAAACAGCTTTACACAGTACTAAGCAATGGGTATTTCATTTTATTTTTGAGACTGTTGTTGGAAAGCGCAAAGAAATATACATATAAGATAAATTAAATCAAGAAAAATTTAAATATTCTGCATATTAAGTATCAAGTTTGAATAAGAAGCGGCTAGTCAAAGACATAACTATAAATGGAATGCCAGTGCTATTTCACAGGGACAAATACCCTGATGTCTGAGTGTTTACAGTCACTGGGACAGTTATTCCAACAGCTTCCGTGCTTCCTAGCAGAACCTCATTTTACCTACAGAGCCTGCATGGCTTTGCTTTCACCAACTTCGTTTAGGAAGCTAAATAAATCCATTCTAAGACTATATTCAAAACACCTAGCCACACGGGCAACCTTGGCAAGCTGACCTAAATCCTGCCTGGGAATCCCACGGCAGAGTCCCGGGTCCAAAACTGTTCTGCTCCTGCCTGCAGCTTCCTGTTAACACAGAAAGCAGGTGACCAGGGAGCCGGCATGATGCCCACGGCCTCCTGTTAACACAGGGAGAGCAGGTGACCAGGGAGCCGGCATGATGCTCACTTTAGCCTGAGAAGGAGACATAGAAGGTACTCAGGGTTTCTCCAACTCTCAAACAGTGGCAATATTAAATAGTTCAAACTCTAAACTTGAGCTTCACACTGTCTTAATCTCAGGTCGAGTACCTAATCCAAACACCAAAAATGCTCAACCAGTAACATCTATGCAAATTTTCTCAAATCCAAAACTCCAAAGTCTAAAATAGCTCTGGTTTAATACCAAAAAGTTTTTCTCTTGTTACCTAGGCAGGCATTTTGGCATTTTCTTTCAGGCCCTTTGTTTTGCTGTGTAATGACTTACTCAAGCTTTGAGACTGGAGTGATTTCTGAGGTAGATGAACTGGAAATATTTTCAACATTTTCACTCTCAACAACTACACCGGAAGAATCTTCATGTAAACCAACCGTAGGGAGTGTCTCAACCACAGGTGCACTCAACTTCCTTGTGTTCTGTTAAAAAAAAGGTACTATTTAATATTGACATTAATAAGTATCTTTTCAGCTGAGTAGCAGTTAACAGAAAGCTGAAAAATTATGAAGAACCATCACTTAAAAAGTACTCTTATGAAAACCCTTTCTCCCGACATTATCACCCTATCAAATACAATTCATCTTAAAATATTGACTGTACACATTTTCAACATTTCGTGAACCAGGACAAAAAGCTTGTCTCTTTCTCCTTTCCCACCTCCTATTTTGCACCAAGAGTGACAAACACGTTCCTCTGACATCAGCTATTAAACATTAGTAACAACAATGCAATCTTACGTGAAGTACTTAACTTAGTTTGCTAGGTCTTGCCCCTGACCAGTTTTGAAAATGTGTATCAATCAGTTTCAGATGATTCCTGCTGCTCCTCAGTCCTCAATGTCCTGAGCCACTCACTCCTCCAAAGCACAACCTGAAATCCAGTTAACACCTCCTCAATCTGGACACCTCCATCAGCCCCTGCTTCCCCACCCCCTTTGCTGTTGCTTCATTACTCCCGAGATACTTGTTCCAGCTTCGGCCGCTGTTCCAATGGCTATTCGTTCTCCGTCTCTAAGTATGAACACCATGAATAACGTTACAGTCCTTACTACTCCCAGCATCGCAGAGTGCCCAGTCAACTGCTCAGTAAGTTAGCAGCAAGTGAAAAATGCTCCCACTCAGTTCAAGGAAAAGAGAAACTCCAGGCCAGGGTGACTCACTCCTCTGTCAAGGGTCATACAAATATTTATAACATCATTCACAGGCCACACAAAATTATCAACTTAAAAATTCGCCAGGCCAATGTGGTGGCAAAGCACATTAACCCTCTGCCTGCAGTGTCAGCATCCCACACGGACCCCTGCTCATGTCCTGACTGCTCCCTGTGTGTGGCTGGGAAAGCAGCACAGGATGGCGCAAGCCCTTAGGCCCTGAGCCTGTCTGGGAGACTCAGAAGAAGCTCCTGGCTTTAGGTAAGTTTAGCTCCAGCCATCGTGGCCATTTGGGCAGTGAATCAGAGGATAAAAGAGCATTCCCGTACGTGCGCATGGCTACTCTCTGTAAATCTTTCAAACAAAAATAAATAAACCTTTAAAAAATATTAGCTTGCTAAAAGCTTACTGAATTTCAAGTCCCACCTTCAGTTGCCTTGGCAGGGCCACACCAAACAATTCCAGGAGCCTCACACACCGTCCACAAGATAAGCACTGCCCATCCCTGAACAGTCAGGAAGAAAGGCAGGTCTGAAGAGCGCTCATGGTGAGCGTCTGCAGCAGACAGACACTGAGACAGACACACGACACAAACAGCTGGTGCTTCAGCATCGTCATTTCAAGTTCCATTTAGACTTTCTTTTCTTTCAACTAAATCTTTGAATGTCAATGAATGTTTTCTTCTTAAATTAATTCTCCATTTGTGCCCAGCAGCCACAAGCAGGTCCTCAGGACTCCACCCCAAGCCCAGGCACATGAGCAACAGTCATAGCTTCAAAGAATCCGAGCAAGAACAGAGGCTAAACGGTCAAGGAAATGAAGGAGGACAGCACCGTTCATACAACTGCAAGGGTCACACAATCACTTCCAGTTCAAACAACTAGAACACTCACACAATCACTTCCGGTTCATACAACTAGAGCAGTCACACAGTAACTTCCTGTTCATACACTGCAGGGGTCACACAATCACTTCCTGTTCATACACTGCAGGGATCACACAATCACTTCCTGTTCATACAACTAGAGCAGTCAACAATCACTTCCTGTTCACACACTGCAGGGGTTACACAACCACTTTCCTGCTGTTCATAAGCATAAACCCTTGCAAGGGTAGTCCAGAAGCTTACACTGCACAGTGCAGCGTCTCAGCCGGCCAGGAAGCTGTTAGGCCAGCCTGAGCTGACAGGAGAGAAAGACATGCACCCTCTCACACAGGTGGAGCTTCTCCAAAATGGGGGACATTGCTATAGTCCTACATTTTCACATCAAATACCGCTCAGCCTCCAGCCAGGAGGCGTTAACTGGATTCCAGATGCCTCAATGTTCTGGTCAGTTTAAGGCAGATAGTTTCTAGTTCATTACATTTTACATATAGCCTGGTACACAAAATATAAGCCAATACTCAGAAAGTAAAATGCGAGAAAAAAGAAAACAATAGTTTAACTTGCAATTATTAATTCATACACCATACTAAAACTAGCAATCTATTAACTAATATACTATACTAAGTGAAAAACACTCTTGCTAAAAATAATTTATATTCAGCATACTTTCTTTTCTTATAAATCAGGTAGAAAACACATTTGATATCTAAAAACCTAAAAAGACATGATATACTATAACAAATAGAAAAATGAAAACATTAAGGACTAAAATTGTTACAAATAAGAAATAATATTAATTACTGAATTTATAATTTCACACATTTTGAAAAGTAGTATCACAAAGTGAATATTAAGATCTTATTATATCATTTTTCAAAAAAGAAAAAACACTGTGAGGGCACACTACTAAGGCAGGTGGTGGGGCAGTGCGGGCACATTACTAGGGTGGTGGGGCAGTGTGGGCACATTATTAAGGTGGTGGGGCAGAGTGGGCACATTACTGAGGCAGCAGGTGGTGGGGCAGAGTGGGCACATTACTAAGGTAACTGGTGGTGGGGCAGAGTGGGCACATTACTAAGGCAGCAGGTGGTGGGGCAGTGTGGGCACATTACTAAGGTAACTGGTGGTGGGGCAGTGCGGGCACATTACTAAGGCAGCAGGTGGTGGGGCAGTGTGGGCACATTACTAAGGCAGCAGGTGGTGGGGCAGAGTGGGCACATTACTAAGGCAGCAGGTGGTGGGGCAGAGTGGGCACATTACTAAGGCAGCAGGTGGTAGGGCTTAGTGGGCACATTACAAGGCAGCAGGTGGTGGGGCAGAGTGGGCACATTACTAAGGTAACTGGTGGTGGGGCAGAGTGGGCACATTACTAAGGCAGCAGGTGGTGGGGCAGTGTGGGCACATTACTAAGGTAACTGGTGGTGGGGCAGTGCGGGCACATTACTAAGGCAGCAGGTGGTGGGGCAGAGTGGGCACATTACTAAGGCAGCAGGTGGTGGGGCAGAGTGGGCACATTACTAAGGCAGCAGGTGGTGGGGCAGAGTGGGCACATTACTAAGGCAGGTGGTGGGGCAGTGTGGGCACATTATTAAGGCAGCAGGTGGTAGGGCTTAGTGGGCACATTACAAGGCAGCAGGTGGTGGGGCAGAGTGGGCACATTACTAAGGTAACAGGTGGTGGGGCAGTGTGGGCACATTACTAAGGTAACAGGTGGTGGGGCAGTGCGGGCACATTACTAAGGCAGCAGGTGGTGGGGCAGAGTGGGCACATTACTAAGGCAGCAGGTGGTGGGGCAGAGTGGGCACATTACTAAGGCAGCAGGTGGTGGGGCAGAGTGGGCACATTACTAAGGCAGGTGGTGGGGCAGTGTGGGCACATTACTAAGGCAGCAGGTGGAAGGGCTTAGTGGGCACATTACAAGGCAGCAGGTGGTGGGGCAGAGTGGGCACATTACAAGGCAGCAGGTGATGGGGCAGTGTGGGCACATTACAAGGCAGCAGGTGGTGGGGCAGAGTGGGCACATTACAAGGCAGCAGGTGGTGGGGCAGAGTGGGCACATTACTAAGGCAGCTTACTTGTGTATCCACCACGTGGTCATCCTTGAGTTCATTTTCTTCTGTAGCAATGGGTAAATCTGAACCTGATTTTCCAAGTAATTCAGCATTGATAAGTCCCTCTCTTTCATCCTATATTGGAACAAAGAAAAAGACTGATTAAGTTGTTTCAGAAGACAGCCCTCTGTGATTTAAAGACTAACTCCTTTATATGCCAAAAAACGACGTTATACACCCTTGCCCTAACTACTCCTGTTCAATGTGCGCATTATATTCACACTAAAGGTGTAATTGCAGATACTGTCAATTCTTTAGATGTGTCTTCTGCCGTTCAGACAGGGAGAAAATAAACTTTACGTCAATCTTCGCTTTCGTAAGCTGTCTAGCTGTATCTACATGTTTAGTGAGAAAAAGAATGTTTTCTTCCCCTCCCCAACCCCCCAATGTTTACTTACATTCAGTTTCTTATTTATTATTCAAATATGTCAAAAAGATTAGATCTAATTCTTGTATGGATGAAAGTACGCATAACTCAAAAGTTCAAATAATTAATGCAAATGTTATGTACCCTGAAATTCAAGCATGGAAATGTGACGACTGTATGTGTATCAACACACATACACACACACACACAGCCGTCAGCAACACGGACAAAGTGTGTTAACAAAGAAATGATGAATAAATTGTGATGTATCTACATGCTGGAGCAAAAATACAGTAATACAGAAAGATATGTAACCATGAAAAGGTGAGATAATCCTGGGAGATTAGGAGAAATGAACACTTGGAGAACATACATAGAACATTTGAGTGCAAAGAAACTATTCATTTCCCAAGAAATCACCTGATTTGCAAAGGTGAGGAGCATTCAGCCCCTGGCCAGATATGACACAAGTGCTGCCGTGCCTTACTCTGCCAAGGCCAGTCAGACAGGGCCCCAAATTCAATTCACGTACAACACGCTCACTGTTAAGTGGCTTCTGTAAGGCCCATGAATGACGCTACAAGTATTCAAACTAAGGCTGGCACTGTGACACAGGGGAAGGCCATTACCTGTGGTACCATCCCTCTTGGGTACCAGTTCATGTTCTGGCTGCTCCACTTTCCATCCAGCTCCCTGCTGCTCCGAGGAAAGAGGAAAGCAGAAGCGGCCGGTGCTGGAGCCCTGCCACACACATAGGCCACCCAGACGAAGCCGCTGGCTTCAACCTGATCCAACTCCGGCTGCTGCAGCCATCTGTGGAGTGAACCCGCCAGTACAAGGTCTCTGTTTCGCTCGCTCTCTTTGGCTCTTTCAAATAAGTAAATAAATAAATCTTTAAAAATAAAACAAAGTGAAACAAAATATGCAAATGGCCCTTAACAGAGAAAAGCTAAGGCAGAGCAATTTCAGAGAATTAAAAAGGAGGGCACAAGTTCTCCATGAACAAACACTACGTTTCTTTCTCCTGGAGAACTCGAGATGGCAATAAAATTCCAAACTCCAGAGGCAAGCAGCAGAAATATTTCTAAGTTACCTGAATTTCAAAACTACCTTAGTAGCTTCAATTTTAACAAGGAAATATACCCATTTCCACAAAAAAAAATTGGGGATTTTTAAAAAAATTCTAAATGTTTTGAGATAATTTTCAAAAGCTAGTAACACATTATAAAGCCAACATTATTTAAGGTACCTTTTTCTGGACTTGTCCACCTTCATTTTCTAAAGCACAGTTGTCATGCTGAGAGTAATACGTTGCGGCTGAAGTTGAGGGACTCTCTTTGCAGCACACATGCCAACTGGGCAGCCTGCAGAGCACGTCACACAGCCAGACGGAGGGAGACACACAATCAGGGAGGGCGGGGGAGAAAAACAAATGTGAGCACGTTTGATAAGGGCTAGAATTAGAGGCAACAGACAGCTGTTACACAAATACTCCCAAGAACGTAAAAGTTTCATGGTAGATAATTGTATTCTGGACAAGGTTTAAGAAAAATATAAATATTATCAGCATTCCAAGTAAAGAATTTTAAATCCCAAGAAAGGTTGCACAGGAAAGTGTCTGATGATTATCATATTTTCATAGAGAGAGCAGAGAAAGCCATCAAAGCTACCCTCAGAAATACTAGATGCCAAACAGGTAACTCTAAATGAGCTTTACTGTCTCAAAGCACCGAAGCAAGGGAATATAAACTTAGTCCTATCAAAAGTGACCAGAAACAGCACACACACAAACGACCGCTACCAATTTCCAGTACTTAGGATGTAAAATCCCTAAGGAAATGAAACAAGGAAAAAAGACTGAAACTCGGCCAAGGAAGAACACCACTGTTCCAGTCAAGTGCAGGTTAGCTGATACTGAAAACTGAGTGAAAAATAGTAAAATTTGCCTAGCATGCCTGCAAAAATAGCAACAAAAAACATTTTATGATCAGCTCCATAATCACTTAAAGGTTTCTCATAAACTTATTCAGCCATCAAGATGTTTTGAATCAATAACACAAAGTATGCGAGTAACACGAGAAACACTTAGGTATCCATAAGCCTAAGAGCGAGCACCACATTTTATGAACAAACCTAAGACCTCATGCAGAGCTGAGGCAGGGAAGTCACCGCCAGTCACAACACAGCTTATGGAAGCAGAAACTTTAAACAACCATGACCAGGAGGAATCCTAAGTGTGAAACCAACAAAATAGGAATAAACAAATGACTACGCTCAGCGCACAACCCCCGGTTCTACCAAATCACCACATTCTCAGTTACAAGTCGAAGGAAAACAAAGCAGAGTGTCCAGACATTTACAAAAGCATCCCAACTGCTGCAGGCCGGCGGCCTGAGGCTGCGGTCTGGGCAGTGACTCGGTCGGGCAGCAGGCGAGCAGGGCTGCGAGGGACGGAGCTCCGGAGACGCACAGGGTCCACCTCGCCCTCTCTGCTCTTTCTGCTTCCTCCCTCCTTCCCCGGCCCCACTCCACCTTTCATTCTCTAACGCTACCCTGCAAATAAATAAATACTAAAAAAAAAAAGCCTTTTATTAGAGCTGCTTAAACTTTCCAGTATTTGAGAATTCTTTGGCTTGGAAAGTGCTACCTTCACACAATTCAAACTTCACAAAATTCAGAATTAAGAAATAAGGAAAACTTGAAAAGTAACATACTGAGGAGATGAAAGGGACACTTTATGAAAGTGATGATCTCTTTCTATATTTTTAAACATATTTTAAATTATTTTATTTACTTTCATTTAACTTGAAAGGAAGAGAGGTGAATGTGCATTATTTACAGCCAAGATATAAAATCAATCAAGGCATCCATTGACAAATGAATGAAAGAAAATGTGTGGTGAAATAGAGCCAAAATAGAGTAAAATCCTTTCATGAGCTAACACTGGTGAAGCCGGAGGACAGCAGAGCAGGCACAGAAAGAGAAAGTTTACATGTTTCCACTTACTTATGGAAGACAAAACACTTGATTTGAGACAGTGAAGTAGTGGTAGAGAGGAGAGAAGAAATTATAAAATGAGTAGCAAAATACAGCTGCAGGGAGGCATCCGTTTCAGATCCCATCGTACAGTTGTTACAAGCTGTAACAACCCATGATGTAGCTCAAAATAGCTGGAAAAATCTGAGGTTTCCCAACACACAGAAATGCTAAATATTTTGAGATGGAAACACCAAATCACCCTGATTCGATCATTAACTGTACGAATGTACCAAATTCTCACACTACACTTCATAAATTCATGCACATGTGAAATCAACTTTAAAACACAGGAGCAAGTTCTGTGCACAACTGAACATGGCCTGCCCATTATCAACAGACTGGATGGAGTCTGGCTACTCTGTGACCCAATCCAGCCCACTGCCCGTGTGCCTAAGACCGCAGAAGACCGCCCAAGACCATGGAGCATCTGGCTCGTCTGGGCTTTGGACTGGCCTCGCCCTGTCTGTTCTGGGTATTTGAGGGATGATCCTGCACCCACATGGGAGACCCGGAAGAAGCTCCTGGCTTCGGACTGGTCCAGCTCCAGTCATTGTGACCGCTTGGGGAGTAAACCAGCAGATGGAAAAGCTTTCACTCTGTATCTCCTTCTCTCCATATATCTGCCTTTCTAATAAAAATAATAGTCATCATCTTTAAAAATAAAAAAAAAGTTTGGGAGGAAACCTCAAAACTTTGAACATTACAATTTTTGGTTATTTTTGGACCTGCCGGGTCTTTACCCCTTTCTCCACCATATAAACTTCACCATGACCATCAATTAGGTTTTTTTCAAGAAAATTAGTTTTATAATCAAGAACTCTGAATATGTGTAAAGTCTACTGTTCCAGGGGCATTAACTCTTGCTGCCCTGGGGGGCTGGTGACACGCACATTAGATAGAACCACCACATGGGTGCTGCAGCCCATTGGGGCACACGTCAGTCCCAGCTGCTCCACTTCTCACCCAGTTCTTTGCTAATGACCTAGGAAGACCAGGAGAAGACAGCCCAGGTGTCTGGGGCCCTGCCAGCATGCGAGAGACCCAGCTAAAGTGCCAGGCTTCAAACTAGCCCTTGGCTGGCCTCTGGTCAGGTGGGGAGTGGACAACTGAGAGCTCTCTCGCTCTCGCTCTATCACTCTCTCTTATGTATGTGTATATGCGGGTGTCTCTGGGTGTGCCAAGATGTTGGATTAAAGTACAAATCTCATTTTTAGAAAGAAAAAAACCAAAAGTTCAAGAATTAAGTAATTTACCCTATTCAATCTATGACTGCAAATAGCTCTCTCTCCCAAAGCTGTTGATATCTGTATTCTACATTTCATATTTATCTTCTGATACATACATAAATAAAAAGTTGAGAGAATAACATATCCAGTAACTCATGAATTGGTAATATTAGCAAGTAAAAGTCAGTTATAGCATAACACAAAAATACAAAAACCATTACAAAGCATCCGTATCAATCCAACATTTCATGATTTAATTATTGGTAACTTAGTAAGTGGCTAAATTATTGGTAAAATAGTTCAGTGGCTGAGGGGATGAACTTCAAAATTGAAAGATTTAAATTGTATCCCCTATTCCCCCCACTTATTACCTGGTCGTAAACAAGTTGCAAAGTCTATATGCCTCAAATCAGCATTGTAAAATATAGATGTTGTGAGGAAATGAAATGAAAACAAGCACTGTGCTTAGAAGGGACGAGAGGTATTGAACGTTAGCTCCTACTGTCCTTCCTCCGCCCGGTGGGCCCCGAGTGCACAGAGGTGTTTAACTCCTTCCCTCCCTAATCAGCTCTCAACCTGCTAAAATCTAGCTCTTTCACGTATCACTGACACTGGAATTTCCCATTTTGATTTCCCTGCTGCGTGCAGAACCCCCGATTATTGCTCACACCTGAAGCCCTCTCCCTGCACGTCAGCATGCCAAGCTGCACACATCGCGTCTCCTCGCTGTCCAATTCTGACTTGTACACACACACGCTGCCTCAGCTCGCTCTCTACCCTTGCGCTCTCCGTCTCCCCTGTAAAGACCCGGAGGCCCGACACACTCCGGCAACCTCGTACTGCCACTTCTCTTTAGCTCTGATTTCTTCCCGCCTCATCCATTCTTGAAATCCTTCAAGGATAAGGTAAATTAGTGCTGGGAATGAGCAAAGGCATGTCAAAGCCGGAGCTCCCTTCTTGACATATCGAAACAAGTAGACGCAAGCACATCCTTTTCCCTTTCCCAAGTTCTCCCTCCTACATCCTCGACACACCGCGCAGTGCCGTTATTCACCCATTACCTAAAACCTGAAAACATTTTGACTTTTTCCATTTCCTTCGCCTTCCCTTTACCACCTCCAGTTACTTCAGATTTCCAAACCCCATTAAACTGAGCTCGAGCTTTCAACTCTTCCCTACAGCAAGATCTACACAGATCTCCCAAACTCCTGGCTTAGAACCACTAAATATCAAGTGCCTCTCCACATGTTTAAGACAGACTCTTAACAGTGCTGGTAACCAGTTTTCGCACTAGCCAGTGCCTGCCTCTCAGGCATGCAGGATGACCTGAAATTGTCTGAACACAGATTGCTTTGTCTCACAACCCTAACCCTCCGACTCCCGCTGCTTCCGCTTCCGCGAATCTCCCTCCCTGGAATGATCCAGTCCTGTGCAGCTCCTCACACTCCACAAGCTGACAGTCCTTCTCATTTCACTTTCATCTCAGTGCAGGACTAGTTAAGGACCAGGGGATATTTCTAACGTCCCCAAGGCGGGACTCAGTGACCCAGGATCTTCCCATAGCACTGGAGCAATCCGTCCTGAGCACTTGGCACGTCTGGACTGCAAGCGGCCGGCTCCACTGTAGGGTGAGGCCCTCCAGGGCAGAGAGCCCCACTTGGGTCCCTGGCACAGTCGTCTTTTCAGCTGTCACCTGAACTACAGACTGGAACAGTGTTTGATAAGTATTAGAAAAACAAGAGTTCAGCAATCAGAGAGGACTCCTCATGAAAGAACTGAACCAGGGAATGAAGACTCCTAAACTAAGTTCAAATCTAACACAGAGTGCAGAATGGCCACCCTATCAGCCATTCAAAAGGACAGAGTGGTTAAAGTAATAATGAAAACTGTGGTTTCTAAGTATTTTTGTCTGGAAATTTGGAAATAATTTGCAGAAGCTCTATGAAGTATTTAAAGATTTATGGGAAATGGGTGAGCAGTATGGGAGCCCTGTGGTCAAACACTGGTAATAAAACAAGACGAAAAGGTCACTGGGTTTACAAAGCCCTTGTTTAAAAAGCACTAAAATACTTGAGCAAAAGACAGGCATTTTTCTGGAC